CCTGAAAAACGTATGAATAAACAGAATGCAAAATGATCTCTGGCATGTAATATATATGAATATGAACTGTCAAAAGCGGTGAAAAGGAAAATGGCCGCCATTACAGCTGTTCATACCGGTTCATACCCAATGTATGTTATGTACATACGCATAAAAACAAAGTTTTTAAATTTAATACATTTTGATACAGAATGTATTTCTTTTTATTTCAAAATATTTATCAGAAATAAATGTCTTAATAACAGCGAGAAATGTAGTGTCGATATACTCCATTATTGTTTACACGAAGTTTCCAAACGTTGCCAAAGAAGGTAATGTAATTCAGGAGTAATGAGATTTGTTCATTAGTATTCAAAGTGAATGCGTCATAGATTGATTTATCATTTATGTTTTACTGTCGGAATTTTTCCAAAAAAACGAATGAATTTATTCTTTCAAATTTTACAATTTATTAGTCGGTAATAGCAAGCACCCATGCGTATTATATTAAACTAATCATTTCAGTTGGTGTTTATTCAGTTGTATAGGTACTTAAAATGTATTTTACAAATCTGACAGAATCTGACAGTTGCGGCGAGACTACGGGGGTAGGGGGCGCCATGAGTATCAAATCTCTACAGTTCATGGCTTATATGAAATAGCCACCATTATATTCGCAATACCTCCCACTCAATCGTCGGTTGAGCGGTATTTCTCGGCCCTTAACTATTTATTCGATGTGCACCGATATAATTTATCCGTAGAATTGCTGGAATGTTGCATGTTAATTCACTTAAACCCAGACTTTTTTAACATCGTGAAGGAGCAAAACATCGAACGTGCAATTAACGATATTATTTTAAAACACAAATGATATGCACATGAGCTATGCAATAAAATGTTGAATTTGGTAGAAGCTATTTACAGTACACAAAAACAGTCAGCACAATGCCAATCAAGCTGACGACACTTCAGTGCAAACATCATTTGAGCGCTCGCAGCGCCACGAACTCTCGTATCATTTTGTATTGACTTTTCGATAGTTCATGAGTTCGCCGTAGACTTCGTCAAAACGTGTCGTCCCTTTGATGCCAATGAACTTAGAAAATATTTTTCATATCGTTATACGACATTATGTTTATTGAACAATTCGTTAAGAAACAAAATCCTTCTCAAATTTAAAAAAAACAATGATAGAGTTTACAAAAATTTTCGGACTTTGGTTTTATACTTTTTTGTTTGTGTGTTCATTCTTTTTTATGGCAATTTCAGTATTCGATTCTTTGTGTCAAAAAGAGAACTAAAGAAAAATAGTGTATTTATTGAGTATGCCTGAGGAAAAAAAATCAGAACGAAGAAAAAAAAACACAACAGCAGTCGTCACAACAGTGATGTTATTCGCTGCGCGCGTACATTACGAACGCGCGCGTCTGCTGCAAACGACCGTGCACTGTGACGCACGATTGTATGTATGCGTTCCATGCCCAATGGCTATGGTCCATAGAATTAACTATTGCACCATATTTCCATTTGAAATACAGTGCTTGGTTGAGTTTTCTAAGTTTACTGTCGACATAATCATAACTCTCTTCGAAATAAGGGATCAAGTTGAAAAAAATACTTCTACTCAAAAATATTGAACTAAAACTAAGGCGGATTTTTGCATAGAGACAGGAACGCGAAAGAATACGACAAAATAAACGATTCCATAAACGAAAAAACTGCCTAGGTTGAGATTTCTAAGTTTACTGTCGACATAATCATAACTCTGTTCGAAATAATGGATCATGTTGAAAAAATATTTCAACTCAAGAATATAGAACTAAAACCAAGGCGAATTTTGGAATAGAGACCGGAGCGCGATAGTATGCGACAAAATAAACGATTCCATGAACGAAATAACTGCCTAGGTTGAAGTTTCCTAAGTGTACGATCGACATAATCTCAACTCTCTTAAAAAAAATGGATCAAGTTGAAAAAATATTTCTTAAATTAAACGAAACAAACGAATGCATAAGCGAAAAAAGTGTCCATGGTGCGGCTAACCCTGTACATTTTTGGGAAAATCACATGTTTCTCCAAAAAATAATTTCATTACTGAGGAACGTTGAAACAAAGTCAAATTCAAAAAACTGAGCCGATGAATCGATAGTAGGGAACGAAATAAACGAATGCATGATCGAAAAAAGTGTCCATGGTGTGTCTAACCATGAACATTTTTGTCCAAAAAATAATTTCATTACAGAACTACAACGTTGAAACAGTAAAATAAACTTTCGCGTTCCTGTCTCTATCCCAAAATCCGACTTGGTTTTAGTTCTATATTTTTGAGTAGAAATATTTTTTCAACTTGATCCATTATTTATTTATTTATTTATTTATTTTTATTTATTATGGAGCCTACATTTATGCCAATATTGTTCCCAGCAAGCTGAGAACAAGCTGGTCAGAGACCCAATACGGCATAAATTCCGCCCATGGTGTGTACAATGATGATGAGTTTTTGCAATTAAAGTACGTTAATATCAATGAGAAAAATCAAATTAAAAGTCAAACTTAATCTAAATTGGATAAAAAATTTCATAACAATGGTCCGAGTATTTTGATATTTGAAAAATAACAGATGCTTTAGGTTATTTTTAAACGCGACTAGAGATTTAGAATTTCTAATTTCGACCGATATACTATTCTAAAAATTGATTGCAGAGAAACTAAATGCGCGAGTATCAAATGCAGTACACGGATTGAAATTCATGCGAAGATTATCTGGATAACGCGACGATTCACCATTACGAACAAACATGCGATTCAGATACTCAGGCGAACAATTTGACAACTGCTTGAATATCAAGACTGCTGATTGCAGTTTTGCTCTGCTCTCAGGAGTCAATCCACTCAAACGCTCACGATATTCAGTAATATGATCATTACGTTTTAATCCGTAAATGTATCGAATCTTGTCGTTATCAGCAACAAGATCACGGTGCATCTGGTTTTGGGTGCTGTGGGCGCCCCAGCCGTATGTTTCCACATTTCCATAATCCATTATGGGATCTATCAGAGCTACAGCCATATCACGTTTGACGTAATTGGGTATAAATCGCTTAGTGTGACGAATGCGATTCAACACGCCATACACTTTTTGCAATTTACACTTGTCATGTTCTTGAAAAGTAAAGTTGTCGTCAAAAATAACACCAAGGTTCTTTATTGACTTACAGAATTCGATTTTTTCATCACCTAATTTCATTTCATTGATCATATCAAAATTCAACCGACCCGTTTGATGCTTTGATCCAATGATCATTACTTTTGACTTTAAACTATTTATAATCATATCGCGACGTTTAAGAAAATCATTCAATTTGGCAAGGTCCGAGTTTATTTTATCGATACCGTCGTTAATTTTATCAAAATCTACTTCGATATGTGCTTGACAATCATCCGCGAATAAATGGCCTTTCATATTTTCAAACACATTGAGAGTATCATTAAAGTAAAGAGAGAAGAAAGTTTGGCCGAAATTACTACCTTGCAACACTCCATTATTAATTTCGAAGAGAGTTGTGATTATGTCGATCGTACACTTAGGAATCTTCAACCTAGGCAGTTTTATCGTTCATGGAATCGTTTATTTGTCGTATGAGATTGTGGTGCAGTCACCGTGTACAGATTGCTCAGGTCAATATCAATGTGTGTTACTTTTCTTGCATTGATTATTACAGGGGGTTTGTAGATTGAAACACAAGCACACTAGCGCCGCAGTTTGCCCTACAATATCATATACGGCAAGCTACAGAACTATTCATTCAGTATATATCATGTAGCTCAACTGTCAATCTGTAATCCCCCTGGATTATTATTCGCAAACTGATTTTCTTCAATTCAAAGTCCAATGAATGTTGGCTAGAGATTCCAAATAATTTTTTTAAACGTACACATTCAAACAAGAAGATATATATTTCAATATATTCCAAGTGCGTACTTCTAAGTCAACTCCATAGTATGTTTGGTGCATTAATTGCTGTGCTATATCACCTAAAGGCAACGGTAAAAGGAATGCAAAAGAAGAAGAAAACAGATGATCTCATGTGATGTGACATGTATCGCATAATGTGCTTTTATTTGAATAATTTTTCTTTCAATTGATTTACATTCTGGCTGTATTTTGTTCATTTTCAATGTGTGTCTAGCAGTCAATTGTCTTTGCCATATAACGTTGTGATCATCCGCTTATTGTCAGACTTTGAACAATTGTAAAGCGCCATCCATACATAACGGCAAAATCAGCTGTAAATAACCGTAAGTGAATTTCGACATATTGTGAAATATTGCCAAATCATACCAATTAGTACTGAATTTTGTCGTCATTTATGGACGGCGCTCTACAATTTCACACTTCGTATTTTATATGTATTCAATACAAGATTATATGCGTGTGGTTGTGATTAGACAAACTGAATTATGCCTCCTTCTTATGCTCACTCTTTCTCTTTCTATTCTTTTCATTTAACTCACTCATTCTACCTCTTTTCTTCCCTTCTCTTCTATATCTCATCCACCCATTTTCTTTTTCCCTCTACCCTCACTAACTCACGACATAAATCATTTTGACAGCTCACTGTTTAAACCGTTTGTATCAGCTTCGAGCAATAATATCTGTCTGTCAATTGAAATAATCCTTTTTACACTATTTGTTTTCTCATGTCATAATAATTGTCTCTCTGTATTGTTTAAATGTCTTTTTTTGTCATTCAATCGTTGATTGCTTTGTGGTGAAAATCGATTTTCTTGGTTTTAATGCATTCGCCGCATTCACCGCATTCACTCATCGCATTCAACAACATTCATTTTGCGTTTGTGTTTCCATATTCTTCGGAGAGATTTGTTGGGATCTATGTTCTAACTCGACTCCCTCAGAGACGTAATTCTCTGGAGGATGGATGGTGGTGGTTGGGAAACATACCGAATTCTACCGATTAGTACTGAACACATACCAAATGGATAGCTTTATTCCACATCTTGTCTATCTTTAGACAATGGATTTTACATTACGAAGTATTCTCAGCGGGTGCTTCAAACACATAGCATCGAAACTTCTAGATTAGGTTCAAGCTTGGATCTTTATAAATGTTTTCTCTTTCTAGGATGTTTGCTTGGTATAATTTTCAAGCTTTATCATTTTGCCCATGATTTCATTCCTCTTTATTCCATTATTCTTTGAAAACGAAACAAGTATTAATCAATAACTGTTTACTCTGCAGTCTGCAGGTGTTAAGCTTTTCACACACAGTTTTAACCTGTAATAACTTTAAAACCGCTATCAATTCAAATCCCACCGAAAATCACCTCAAAAATTAGTTTCTGTATCCCGTTGAGAATAGCGATTTCTATTTTGCTTGCCGTTCGAAGCTCAAACAATCTATTTTCATTGGATTTTAATTGAAACGGTTACTGTTTAGGGCCATCAATCAATTCGTGAAATATCATTAAAAATCAACGCATGAGTCTGTATCGGTTTGGAATATCGTATGAAGAAAATTGACTTAAACCTCGGACTAGGGGCATTTCTCACGCAAAAAATTGAAACGAATGTGCAAGAATTTAAGATATTTCTTCTTTCCCATTTAAATGGTATAAAAATGTATGAAATTGTCTGGAATTGTCAAATTTAATGTGAACCAAATTACTACATTCCAGTCAATTCTAGAACATTTTGGTGAATTCACTGCAATTTCATAAATTCGGTTCTGTTAGCAAGTACAAATCTTAAGTACGTACCTAAGCTTAAGTATAAAGATTGTCATCCTTATGTACGTACTTAACATACTTAATGTGCTTACGTATCAAGCTTAAGTGCGTACTTAAGGTTAAGTATGCTAAGTATTACGTACTTAAGCTTCATACTGCGAACGTATTTTACACATTCAGTGTAAATGTGTATCCATTTACCCGAATTGATAGAAATGGAAGAAATTGTTCAATATTTATTGGAATGGTTCCATTTTTTAGGTTAGAAATGCCCCTAGACCTCGGAAAAATTTGTTGTTTTTAATCATGGCGATATTATGTTGTATAACTGTAAGCGAATACATATACCCTGAATTAGATTTTCGTTTGATACCATCGTCAACCTGTCAAAATGTGAATTCTCTCAACAAATTTTTGTCAGAGCTGCCTCAGTTTTGAAGCGAAGTTGATGAAAAGAGATCATTAGAAACTGGGATCTTTTTGTTGATTAGAAACGGGAACTTTCGCTGTGTGTGTGTGCGTGTGTGTGTGTGTGTGTGTGTGCTTGATGGACAAATAGAAAAAGTTTGTGCAAGCAATTTATGTTAAATCATGTGAAACTAAAGAGGAAACACAAAACAAAGATTATTAATCTGTCACTGCTGCTACTGCTGTTGCTGCTTTATTAGGATCCAGGATTGAAGATTGATTGCTTCGGCCGAGTATGCAAAGAACAAGTTAAATGGCGCATTTCATCAAAAGATTTATTGCTAGTCAAACTACTAGATTGAATTACACTTGACAGCGAATTTGATATACATAAAGTGCACACAGATGCACACTTTTTTTGTTGTTGTTGTTTTGTTTTGTCATAATAATAATAATAAGTAATAATAAACTTCCGTCTGCATTAGAACTTTGGTTCTAAATACAATATAATAAAGTTTCAGCAATATAATAATATATGTACAACATTTTTGTAATTGGTACGAGCGTTGTTCCATTAAATCATGCATCTCTCTCTCTCTCTCTTTTTCGCTCTTTATCTCTCCTCTATGTCCAATTCCTGTGCACTTGACGTGCACTAAAATTGTTTCAAATCACCTTTATGTTATTTGCATGTGTATTCCTGCGTTTGTGGCTATTATTTTGTTTCTTCATTAATTTAGGTTTGTTTCTTACCATTATTCATAATAGTTCATTTCATACATATTTATTTGCTGTGTTCTGAATTCGAATTCAATGAAACTGTTTCATTTCATTTGTCGTGATTGTGAATTAGTCAAAAGTAATGCGATGAATAATCCTTGGGTTTGCATCTAATAATCCTCTATTGTCGACCGTCATTTGTGAATGAATCCAACAAGCGTGGATGGGTGTATGTCTGGGTCACCCATACTGAGTTCGTGTGTGTGTGTGTGTGTGTGTGTGTGTAACGAGCCTCATCCCACCCAGCCTTTGCTTTCATCACGACATTTCTCCCATATTTTCTCTCTTCTTCATTTGATAACACGACGCAATTCATTGCAGTTTGTATTTTTTTGATTTATTAGGTTTTTTGTTTTTTTATACATTTAAAGCAAACATGTGTGTGTATTTTCCATTTTACAATTGTATTTCTTTTGTTTTGAGGGAGCGTTCTTAAAGATAGACTATATAATCGCAATTTGTTGCATTTCCCACGGATACGACGACGTCACGTATTAATGATGCATTTTAAACATACGTACTGTGTTTCTTGGATGATGTGAACGGTGGTAAAACAAACAATAGCAAGAAAAAGAAAACTCAGATTAACAGATATTTCACATAATTTTTTTTCTCTTTTGTTCCTTTATGAATTGGAATTCAACAAAATTCGATATCAATCACTTTTTCACATCCATTCTCTCTCAGCAATTTCTTCATTTAATTCTTTCTCTCCTTCAACAATTATTATCAAATCATAAAATTCTATTGGGTTTTCTTTTTCTTGCTTAACATTTTGCAATAAAAAAAAAACTTCGTTTGCACAGAAAAATAAAAAAAAAATTTAGGCAATACAAATCTCATTTTGGTACATAGTGTTGTTGATTTTATTTTGTAGTTTGTTGGTTTGGCTGCTGCATTACCGATATTTTTCATCCATCAAAATTAATAGGCAAATTCCGTTTTTTTTTTACAAAAAAAAAGACAATTTGTTTATATAATCACACTAGTGTTTTTGTTTTGAGAGAAGGAAGACTGCAACCTTACATCGCAACAGCGATCACAAAACCTATATAATTTACAACCTTCTCTGCATGTTGTGGCTCTTCCTTCAATCATATTCCTATTACACAATTATCGCGCTTTTGTTGCTGTTTCTTTATTTTTTATTCATTTACATCTACGTTCGAGTTCGGTTTTATTTTGAGTTGACATGTTCGACATTTCCTCTCAGTTATGGCATTTTAAATAATTGTTTCTCTCCCTTTCTCACTTTTAGGCTAATACCGTTCAGCGGTTACCGAAGCTTAGATTTCCATTTTATTTTACTCTATTCTAGATTTATACTTGTTTTTTTTTCTTCAATACTATATCTATGAGCTTTGAGCAATCGTTTTGGTCTGGTGTGTAGTGGTCAAGTTGCGCATCACATTTGTTTTTCTCCTGTTTTTTCTCTCTCTCTATTTCGAAGCGCCGCAGTCTCCAATTTCATTCACATTTCTTCATTTCAACAATCTTCATCGCGATTTCTCATCTGTTCACTCATTTCAGGCTCTGGCATTTCGTATGTAATTAGCTGCTAATTTGTCTTTTGATCATCACTCGTAATTTCTGTTTTAATGAAGACAAGAAAAAATTGATATTGCGTTCAGAATTTACTTTCAAATATTTTAGTTACTTTTGTATTAAAATTTTTAAAATTTATTTTGATATTTTTTTTATCTAATTAGAAAAAAAAAACACAAAAATTCACCATAAAATTGGTTCAAAGGATTTGAAATTGCGTATCGCACACACTTACGTTCTCTAAACTTTTCCAATTCCATAAAGTGTCGCAATCGTAATTCCTCCTCTTCAATGTGCTGACGCTGAAGCAACAATTGCAATCGTTGCCGACTTGTTGGCTCCAAACGCATCGTACTCAACATATTTCGTGTTACTTCCAAATTGTGTTTAATTTCCTTTTTTTTTTTTTTTGTAAAATAGGTCGAGCAAAATAACGTTTGAATTTGTGTAAGTTTGAAAATCGATTGGTATTAAATTTGACTTTTAAAAAGAATTTTTACCGTTTTTTCGTTTTGAGGTATTGTTGTGGTCATCATTTCCGATGGCGTACAAACAGTTGATGGCTGTGGCACTGGTGGCTGTAGTGTTTGTGTGAATAATGGCTTTTCCACGGGTAAAACTGAAGCAAAACCCCAAAAAATTAAGATAAGTATTTGCTCTCAACGAATGAGTGTGTATAAATTACCTTGTGGTTGCGAAACTGGCTGATAGCTCATATTCCCTATCATACCAACTGTAGTATCGATATTGTGTTGAAGTGTATGGCTTTGATTTTGGTTGTAACTGTATAAATAAATATGCATTAATAAAACCAACCTCAAATTTTTGCTCGAGATTTCTCGAAAAAAGTACCTGATTTGTTGTGGTTGTTGTTGTTGCTGCATGTTCGTTTGTTCCGGAACATATGGAACGGGCGCTGGTTGGGATACGACCGGTTGTGGCTGTGGCGTTGGAATCATTTGCGCCTGCATTGTGATCGTGGTCTGTGGTGCCATTGATGTCATCGTCTGCGGTGGCGGTTGCATCACTTGTTGATTCATTATGTGCGATTGATCCATTGTTGGATAGTTTTGCCCTGGCGCTTGTTGAATTTGGGACTGAATCGGCTGTGTCGACGCATAATTTTGCGATTGCATGACAGATTGCTCATGTGAAACTGGCGCTTGATTGAATTGCTGTTGCATTTGTTGCATCGGCACTTCAGATGGCATTTGATTGGCCATTTGATGGTGGGGCAGCACTTGTTGTTGTTGCTGTTGCTGTTGCTGTTGCTGTTGTTGTTGTTGTTGCTGTTGCTGTTGGTGTTGCTGTTGTTGTTTCTGTTGCTGTTGCTGTTGCTGTTGCTGTTGTTGTTGCTGTTGCTGTTGCTGTTGCTGTTGCTGTTGCTGTTGCTGCAATTGAAACCAAAATCGATTTTTAAAAGGAAAATAATTTTGAGCGCGTTTTTAGAACAAATCGCCATAATCGAGTTAGAAAAATAAAAATAATTTCAAGTTCAACCTACCATTGACTCAATTTTATCGGGCGAATTATCGATCGGTGACTGAATGTTATGTGCACCCATATCGTGTACAACTTGCACTTGTTTTGGTTGTTCGGCCGAACAATTTTCTAACAGCACATCGGCTCCATGAATGATGTTCGGTAGTGTCACGGATTTATCCTCTTCTTTCACATGCGATACTTGGAACCGTGAAATTTTCCGCACTTGTGGTGGATTTGGTTCCGGAACTCGTTCCGGTTCGCTCCTCGTAATGACTTGATTTACATTGGCATTTGCCATCATATCCATATCACTGTGCGGTGCAATGACTGCATTTGCCATTGGCATCGTTTGATTTGGAATTGTGCTCGTTTGGTTCGGTATTTCAGTCATATTTTCCTGAGGCTCTTGCCATTGATTCATATGATGACCGCCTTGATGTTGCAAATTACCTGTTGGCTCCTGTGAATTACAAATCGATTCAATGAATGGAATTGCTATGTCAATGCACTTAAACTGGATATCGAAACAACGTATTGCTAAATGAAAGTGACCCAAGTGACCTATTTAAATTTAAACTTATATCTTCTACTGAAAGACGAAATTAGCTTAGAAAATTGTACTCACTTGATTCGGAAGCTTTACGGCATCTGAATATGTCAGATTACCGGTCTGCTGAGACAATGGTTGCTGAACAATATTTGTCATTTGCTGAATTTCTGCAATTGAATTAATAGAAAGTTTTTTTTTTAGTATTCGATTGGATTTCCATTTATTTCCTATTTATTTAGCAATGCTGTCTTTCTCCCCCCCCACCCCGTCTTTTTCCTTTTCTTCTCTTCCTTATCATTCCATTAATCTTCAATTCAATCCAACTAAGCTGAAGAAAAACTGTTTGTACCTGTTTCGATGTTCTGGAACGGCTGTGGCATGTATTCGCCCGTTGGAGTCGAAACGACCGATGTATTTTGCTGGCCGGAATTCGGTTGATGCGACATCATTTGGTGATGAATCATTTGTTGATTGGCTTGTTCTGCAAATATTAACCCGCATTTAATATCAAAAAGTAAAAAAAAAATGGGCTCTTCGTTATTTTGATTCCAAACAAAAACTTACGTGCTGGTTGCAAGGCTGAAATCAAATCCAATGGTTGTAAATTCAATGTCGGTGAGTTCACTACTTGCTGATTATATTCTGGTGGCGATGTAATAGTTGAAGTAGCCACACTATCGGGCGCTGAATACTGATGCTGGTGTTGTTGATGTGATTGCTATTGTATGGGAAAAATGATGAAATTTGAATGATTTTCGTGTAATTGATTGATAAACCATTTAACAGAATCAACGGATTAGTTCAGAATTGATAGAGTGCTTCCTTGATTTTCAAATTATTTTTACAGTTCGGTTCAAATCAATTGCAAAGATATTTCCAGTTATTCTTGTACCTGAATCACTTGATTAGAGTCGATATACTGATTGGAGTCAATATAATTCGGTTGCATATTGTTCCCATTGTACATATCCATGTGCATCGCTTGATTCACAAAGCCGCCTTGCATGCTGCAATATTCCGAATGAAAACAGTTTACATTTATTAGTGAATGTTTCTCATTGATTTGTTCTTTTAAAAAAATAAATCTATCTTCATGTTTGTACTGAATTTTACTCTTTTTGATATACGACAAAATGTTCATTGAAATACTTACATATCTTGTGGATTTTCCGCGTTGCCTGGAATATAGTTGACTATGTTCATTTGATCTGTTGAAGACGAAACGAAAAATGGACCGTCATTACAATCTGAATGAAAATTGCAACTTTTTAATGAATATACCTTCACCAATAAGTTGATTTCCACCCATCTCGGGTGACAGTTGAGATGAGCTTCCCTCATTTTCCGCTAAGAATTTGGTCATCATATGCACGTGCGTAATGTTCTCCAATTCAATTTTCAATTGCTCCAATGTATTGATGTGATCCGGTCCAAGTGGTTTCTTCAATTGTTGCTGAATGAATTCTTTGGTTTCCATTGCATTCGATTGCGAAATAATATCGGTTGGATTGATAAATGGTGCGCCTTCCGGCTGTACAGCCGAAATGAATTCGGCAATTTTTCCGCTGAGTTGCGTGGGCACATTTAGCACATTCGACGCATTCATAAATTGTTGGCCGCCGGAATTCGTGACGATCACCTGTTCGGTCAAGTCAACGATCGTTTGAGTGACATCAGCCGGTGGCGGTTGTAATTGCTGCTGCTGCTGCTGCTGTTGTTGTTGTTGTTGCGTTCGCAGCTGTTCATCACTTGGGATCAGCTGTGGTACTTGATTTTGTGATGGAATTTGATGTATATCACCTTGTAAAACATTCGCAACGTTCGGCGCCTGGCTTATTGGAGGCGGCGGCGATTTCATTGGCTCTTCAATGCAAGTACTCTTTTCATTTGTTACCGTTAATATTGCGGGGCTAACTAAGAAACGTGATATTTTTCGAACGGGTTGAGCTTTTGTCGGCGAAGCGGCTTCCAAATCCTTTTGTGGCTCTGTCGCTACTATAGACGGTGTACTTTCTACGGCCACAACGGTCACCGGTGCTTGATGTGGTATCGATGCAGTATTGTCTGCAACCAAATCACCACTGCCACCATCAGGCAAACCGGCTTTTTGTACGGGCGTCGGTTGGTCGGGAGCCAATTGAAGCGGAACGAAAACATTTTCGGAAGCGTCAAGCACTTGGGCAACTTCCTTTGGCATTTGGTCTAGTGTCGAATTAGGTGCAAGCGTCATTGATTCTTTGGCATCATTAGCATTGAATTGAGTCGTATTTTGCGCTTCAAACGAACTTGGTATATCACTGAAAATGAGACGAAAAAAAAGGACGATCATTGAATACGGTTTCATTCTCATTTTTTTTTTCTCGAAACATTCTCATTTCGAGAATGAGTTTGAACAGTTGTTGGCAAAAATATGTTCCAATTGAAATGTACCTAATATGTTGGAACATTGAAATGGTCGGCGGCGATGATGTCGTTGACGACGAAATTGTATTCTCTGGAGTATAATCAGACATTGTCGTACATTCAGAGGCGGTGCTTGTTTTGCGTGATAGCTCGTGTCCAGCCATTTGCTGATGCTCGGAATGGTTTATCTAAGGCAACACAAATATTTATTTTTTCAATCGAATTTGTTGTCATAAAAATTGCTATCGAACAAAAGTGAATGATAAACTTACAGATTGCGGTGTTCCAACAAGTGCATTGTTCACATCATCGGGAAAATGCTTAATTGTGTCAGACACAACGTCATTGTTGTTATTATTGTTGATTATATTATTGTTATTGTTATTATTCGTGCTGAAAAGAGAAAATTCCATTGAATTCAATTCTTCAACAATAAGTTGGTTGGCAAACTATTCCATTTAATTCGACTCAAAATGATTATGTTGCATACCTGTTTGGACTCTGTGAGGTATTTTGAACACCTTGTAGCGGTTGCATACTGTAAATGGTTGGATCGAACATTTTCGATAACGACGAAGTTTCATCCTTCTGTAAATTGATCAATTCAAAGATTAAAACATTGAACAAAATCGGTATTATGCTCACTAAACTCAATGTGCATCTTCTTTCAGATGCATGGAAATGCTTAAATTGTGCATAATTCAATATTTATACATATATATAAAGAAAGCATACAAAAATCAATCATAAATCTAGTTCAATTCATAACGAAAATTATCGTTTGTTGGCAAATGGAAACGATTTTCCCAGAGAATGCAAATGGAAATGATTCAACATTAAAATCATCAATCAGGTGTATGAATACATTGCTTGACATTTTGGATGTATAGATGATATTCTAGACTCTATCAACAAATAAGAGAGAACTTTGGATCGAAAGTGTTGACAACAATCATATACAATGGTATGGAAAATGGAAACGTTTTAAAGTAAGAATGGAATAGAAAATTTCCAAACTCAGCGATGCACGTCACCACTTAATCGGCTGGTACACAGTACATTTGACCAGTTGCGACTTCGGTCAAACATCTGCTGTTGCGAAGTATTCTCACGAAGTGGTGCTTCGTCTCAGTTCGCGTGCTGTGCACACACGTTGTAACTGGTTAACCATATACACGAGTCACAGTATGCTTTGATGCATATTCGCAACAACGGAAGTTTGACCGAAGTCGAAACTGGTCAAATGTACTGTGTACCAGCCGATTAACTGGTGACGTGCATCGCTGAGAACATTTCAATTGGAACTCTCCATCTGAAGAAGTTCTTCATTCTTTATTCTTTCAGTTCAAAAAGTCAACGTTCCAATTTGACTTTAATACTCACGATGAGCATGATTTTTAACTTTTACTCTAGCTAAAGTGCAGATAAATGAAAGAATCGTCCCATTTATGCGGCTGGTGTCTAGTTGCAGGTAGACTAAAATAATTGAATACACAAGGTCACATTGGAAATTCTAGTCGTAAACCATAATGTTGAATGTGTTTTTGTGTATTTTTTTTTTTGTATTTTGTTTCTTGTGGCACCACAATTATTCGAAAGCTACACGAATAAATGTGTCTGCGGTTCATAAATTTACGTAAATTATGAGCATACTCATAATGGGAATGTTTTATTACTTTAGTACCTGCAGATGACTGCCACTGTCATCAAGACCTTTAACTTTTCTATTTTCAATTGTTTCAAACGAACCGAAAAATTAGAGAGAAAAAAATCCATCCATTTGCAATACAATAACGGATCAACAAACGAAAAAAGATAAAAAAAAAACTGACATTTAAATACACAAATGAAAAAAACCATACAACAACAAAAACAACAACAACAACGATAAAACGACAACAACAAACAAAAAATGGAGAAAACAACAAATGGTGATTGATCGTCTTGAGGGTAGAAAAATAAAACAACAACAATAACAACAATTTTAAATGAGTAAGTGTGAAAATGCGTGAGTTGATTGAGGGAGAAACTTACTGATCGATGTCTTTGATGCGTTCGAAAAGCTGTTCGCTGTCTCGTTAGAGACGCGTGTCTCACCTAGATGATTGATTCCGGCAGAAGTAATTGGATTTGTTTGTTTGTTTGTCATTTACGAGTGAAATGTATTGAATGCGTGCAAGTTAAGAATAGTTTTTTATGTTTTAGATTACATTTGGAGTTGAAAAGAGATTGTTAAGAGTTATATCAATGGATGAAAAAGGAAAACAAAAAACAATGATGAAGGCAAAACAAAAAAAAAAATAAAATATTGGATTCGAGAGATTCAAACTTGAAATCATAATCAATACGGTGGAATGTCAACGATCGCCCCCTTGTTTCGAACCACAGGATCGTAACACCGTAGATTTCAAATGAAATTTGTATGAGTGTTTGTGTGTTTGATATCTTTTGGTATGAAATCTAATCAGAATCTAATGAATAAAAATGATGTGTATATGGTTTGTCTTTGGTGCGTTTTAGTAATTAGAATTAGATTATGATGGAATCAGATGGGCGAGTGATATCACAATATCGATATTTATATAGTTTCAAACAAAAAAAAAAGAAGAAAGAACAGAAACAAAATCAAGAGAACAAGAATTTCGGTCAAACGACACGAATGCATTGCACAAACCTTTTCGAGACCACTTCCAGTTCGGCGGTGAGTTGTCTGCGGCACGGGTATTTGGTTTGGATTCAATTTGAGTTGCCTCACGATATCCTTCACCATATCGGCAAACACATTTCTTTGGCTCGCTGATAGCAATTCCTTTGATATCTGCAATGATGCGAATTTTCCAATGTTTTTTTTTTAAAAACAATTCCGTTTCGAATGGGTTTCTTGTTGAGGCAAATTTCAACGGTTTAATGAAACTGAATTGCCGTTTGCTACTCACCAAATCATTTGCTACATCAATTGGATTCACATCGCTAATATCAAATTTGAATTTAATGGTTTTCAGTTTGCTCTCCATGGAACAATCGACCAGTGTCCCATTTTGAACGCTCAATATCACTAGTTTCGGTATACGCTCCGATGATTTGTTCGATCGTCGGGTTTTGCTTTCGCCACTTTGGGACGATTTTGTGCTTGGCGCGACATTCGTATTGCTACCGCTATTCGCGACTGGCGCTTGCGATTGTGGCTGCTGTTGTGATTGGTCTTGCTCCGATGGCTGTTGCTGTGACATCGCCATTTGAGGCTGTGATTGTGGTTGTTGAGGTTGTGGAATTGGTTGACTTTGAACGGATTGCAAAATCGGTTGCGCATTTTGTATCGGCTGAGAAACAATCGCTGGTTGCGTTATTAAATTGGTGGTTTGTGATGCCACTGATGTTGACACTACTTGACTCGATTGAGGTTGAATTGTTTGAGAGGTTGGCTGTGGAATTGGTTGAGGCACTAATCCTGCTGTCGGTTGATTGACCACCTGAGCCTGAGCCGTGGCTGGATAACTGACAGCTGATGGCGCTGGCGCCGAAACGACAGGTGCAGGTGCATGCGATTGTAATATGTTTTGCTCATTGGAAGTGGATGATTGGGTGATTGTATGCAAAGCTTGGACTAGCTCTTGTTGCGCACCAGTCGATGACGTGTCAGGGATAATGTTTATGGCCTGTGCTTCGATATCAAGGGCATTTTGATCGGTTGTTTGATTCACTGTCACATTTGATCCTGGCACCGCACTGGCATTGATGTCATACATCACTGGAACACCGGTGGACACGTGCTCAGTTAACATTGCACCATGATCGGCTTGCGTTTGATAGTTTAGAACATTCGAGTCATGAACTTCATTAAGCTGCTGATGCATTTGCTGTGGTGGTGGCTGTTGCTGCTGCTGTTGAATTTGTTGCTGTTGCTGTTGCTGTTGCTGCTGCTGCTGCTGCTGTTGAATTTGTTGCTGTTGTTGCTGCTGAATTTGTTGCTGTTGGATTTGTTGCTGTTGGATTTGCTGTTGCTGCTGTTGAATTTGTTGCTGTTGCTGCTGTATTTTTTGTTGTTGCTGCTGAATCTGTTGTTGTTGTTGTTGTTGAATCTGTTGCTGAATTTGCTGTTGGCTCCACACTTCAGGCGTTGTATTTATTTGACCTATGGAAAAAAGACATGATTTTTTAAAATAAACTTCTGACTAAACTTTTTTTCATTTCAATGAATGTTCTGTTGTATCTTATTGTCCTCCGAAGACATTTCAACTATTCAAAACAAATGACTCCTTACCTGGTGCAACTTGCATGACAACTTCATTTGGAGACACGAGATTCTGTGGACCGAGGTGATTGTCTTGTGCAACCATCGATTGTGCGTTAATGTGTGCACTAATATCGGTTGACGATCCAACATTTATGCGCATCGGTTGTTGTTCCACCGGCACTGATTGCTGCTGCTGGTGCTGCTGCACTTGGTTTGATCGAATCGAATCGTCAATCACTCGGTTCTCATTTTCAACCTGTATGTTATTCGCTACAAATTCGGTGTCATTGCGTGCAATGTGCAAATCGGCTTCAACATTTGCATATTGCACTTGTTGCATTGCGTTATCATTATGTTCTTTGGGAATGCTATCAATTTCTGAAACGATTGTGGTCAGAACGTTTTGATCGTAGCTAACCGTGGGTATGCTTGCATCATCCAGACTAGATTGTTGCACAAGGCCACTATCCTTCGACTGAATATTGGCACGTCTATTGCCCAATACCAGTACGTCCGTTGCGTTGATCATCTCACCGGGTATGTAACCGTACTCTTCGCACTCATCATCCTCTTCTTCCACTTCATCGGACTCCTCTTCATCATCGTCCTCTTCATTGATTTCGGCTGCCTTTTGAAAGGCCAACATTTGCTGGGCACGCAACGCTTTCGATCTCAAATGCGGTTTTTGGCCATCGACCTGTTTCTGTGCCATCAATTCGCGCCTTTGTTTGATCAACGCAGCCACTTGTACTTTGATCAATTTTGCCACCGCTTTTGAATCTTCTTCATTGATAATATTCGATTTGAACATCTCGCTCGCCAGCTCATCCGCATTATCAGTCGTGATATCAAAATCAAATTGAATGGCCTCGTTTTCTTTGTGCTTGGATGTTCGCTTCTTTGGATCCATTAGCCGCAATCGAAATTCGATATTATTACACGCGGTGCTCAGCAGAAACTGTTGCTTTGTGATCGGTTCAAGTTTAATGCCCAAATCTTCGCAAAAGAAATCCGAGTTCAATAGGTCAAGGCAACTGGGTCGATCTTCTTTCCGTAATTTCGTACAACGATCGATAATATCTTTGACTTCTGGGTTTTCAATTTTTTCGAAGCTCACCGGTTTGATGCCACACACCACTTTTTTGTAGATTTGAGCCGGACCCGCGCACTCATTGTATGGATACTCAGAGGTGGCCATCTCCAACATGCACATACCGAAGGCGTACACATCGACCGCTTCGTCATAACTTTCTTCGTACATTTCCGGGGCCATAAATTCCGGTGTGCCGATCACGGATTTGGCAAAGCTACGATTTTTTAGCGTGGCCAAGCCCAAATCGCCGATTTTTATGCTACCGGTCGTGCCGGTTATGAAAATATTATCACATTTCAAGTCACGATGAATGATAGACGGTGATCGTGTGTGTAAAAAGTATAAACCTTTTAAAATTTGCCGACACCATGATTTTAATACTTTCGGTGTGATTTTTTTGAAGCGTCGCAAATACGATTTTAGGGTGCCGGACAACATGAGCTCCGTGACCAAGACGATATTCTTCTTTTTGCCATTGGCCACCTCCCAGTAATTGTAAAATCGTACAATGTTCGGATGTTGTAGTTTTTTCAACATTTCCGCCTCTTCGCGAAACCGTTGCCGCTCCGCTTTGTTCACCTTTTTGTCGAGCAGCTCACACCAGGCGACAGCAACACCAGTTTGCGTGTCTAGTCCACGGTACACAGTCTTGAATGAGCCACGGCCAACCTCTTTGTCATATTTGAAGAATCGACCGCACGGCGATACACCCACCGGTTCCTCATCATCTTCCGTTCCGATTGGCTCCTGTTCCAATTTATGCTCGTCTTGCGGCCCAAATGCCACATCGAACTGCAGGAATTTATCATCCGATGGAATAAATTGCGCCTCTAATATTTCAGTCTCTGTGCTCAACAATTCAATATTATCATCCAAATTACGTGGATACTCCGTTTCGATGGTGTCCGAATCGATGAACAAATTTTTCGAATAAAATAAATTATTTGTCGCGGCATCCAAACTCTTGCGAATGAAACGTCGATGCATATTATTTCGCTGCGTTTCATCCGGCGATCTTACTTCCAGCAGCGCAGTACTCGTACATTCTGAAATGGGTTGAGAAGAAAATTAGTCGCGAAATCAAGGGATGTTGTACCGATCGACGTGGTCAAATGTACATTTTGTCATTTTTTTCAAGGTAAATGTCGTTAAAGTCTTAAAACCATTCAGTTTTACCTGTTGAAAGTTTTGCACCTATTGCATCTTTATTTCCGGCCATTGAACTAGCCGCCGGCGTCGTTGCCTCCATCATCACCGCAGCCGCTTCCTTCACTTGATCTGACGTTGACTGACTATCTATTTGCTGTTCATTCTTATCTAACTTATGCACATCTATTAAATGTTCATTTGCATTACAAGCGCTCGATTCACGGCCACTGGAAACTATTTTATCATTATCACCACCGTTATTTAATGCTAAGTCTGTTGATACATCTGAGACCCCATCGTTCGACTGTGAAAAAGAGAAAGAGGTAAATAATTTGTGTTATTGTTCAATTGAAGTGATTCATTTTTTCCCGATCCAATTTTAATGTCTTCTTAAGTATTGTTTTTGTATTTTTGTTTTCCTTCATCGATGATATGGATCTTGGTATATCGCTTACCATTTTCGTATCGTTTTCGTCGGATGTCTCAATGTTTGTGCTGGTTGTTGGTGCCTCTGTCTTTGTCGCCGGAGGCTCGTTAGCCATCGATTTATTGCTTTGAATGTCGTCGATTTCGCGAGCCTCCTCGCAAACACTGCCCTCGCTACAGCTATGCTGTTGTTGCTGTTGTTTTCGTAAACGTTGCTGTTTTCCGGCCGATATCGCTGCCGCTCCACTACTATTGCTACCGCTCGAATTATTTCGACTGGTTGATTTCATTGCAGGTAAATCACTAGCCGTTGAGCTACTGCTGCCACGACCACCGGACAATTCCCGGGCCAAATGACTTAGAAATGAACCCGTTTTCGATAAATTTTGCAAATGATTACTATCACCAATTTGTGGCTGCTGATTTTCAGCTGAACCTGCGTTATTATGACTCGAAGAAGTGTTCACAGATTTTTGATTTTGTTGCTAGTTGTGAAATGAAATAAAACGGGGGAAATCCAATTTAAGATAAAAGTCTTGCGCATATTTTTTTTTCTGTGTTTCAAAATGCAAAGCAAAAAAATGGGAGGAAAATCAAGAGCGAAGATAAATTGTACCTGTTGTTGATTCAACTGTGTTGAATTCGAACGTATGGCATTCGATGCTGTTTTCGACAATTGTGCAGCAATCGGTGCGCAAACAGTTCCAGTCTTTCGTTCACGTGGATTTAGATGATTTAGCTGCGTTGCTGACGCACCCGCTGATGATAATTCGCCCCTTCTGTACATAACAACAAAGCACACAATTCGGATTTAGTACACACACACACACACACACACACAAATCAAACCAATCTTTCGGAAGCAACAGCATAAAATTGAAATCAAAAACAAACTCCATTTACCCTTTTAACGGTTGCCGCGATACAGAATTGTGTTTTATGACAGATGGAGATGGAGATGCAGTTGCTGCAATTGCACAGAACAAACGAAATAAGTGAGTTGAAAATCAATTTAAAAAAAAAGCAATTTCAATAAATCAATTTGTGATTGCGATGCGAATTTTTTTCTTGCTTTTTCTCTCAATTCGTTAATCAATTATGAATTTCCATCGAAAATTTGAAAACTTTTGCTAAGTACTTTGCAGTTATTACCTTTTTCTCTCGACTCGAGTGACTTTGATGAGGATAGAGTAATTTGGTGAGAAGTGGAACAATTGTTGCTAATAAAAATTGAGTCTTCGTCTACGCGTGGATTATTAGTGACGACGGTAGTTTTTGTAAGATTTTTTGTCTGAAGCGATGACGCCGATTTGAGTGTTCCTTGGGCACGGGCTGTTTTTGCATTGCAAATATCGCAGTTTTTTGCGAATGATTCTTGATGTTGTGGGCTGTGTATGTGTATCGAATGGAAGAAAAGATTTATGAAATGAAATTTTTGATTGAAAAAACGGTATGTTTTGAACTATTGGATAAAACGGTAATAGAAAAAAGATGAAGAGAAGTGAAAGAAGCTCGAATAAAAAATCGAAGAAAATCAACGAAGATTGTGTACGTACCTTGTATGGCTATTGTTATCTAAACGTTGATTAACTGATTGCTTTTTATTAGTGACTCGTTTGTGCCGCATTATTGCGGCTACCGATTGATTTGCACCGAAATCTGATTATTGAATCACACACTTTATACACACTGCACTGATTTTTTAAAATTTTCTTTTATTTCTTTTATTCGGAAACACAATTTCAAAACTGCATATATTGAGATGCAAATGTTGAAACCGAAAAACAGTTCTTCTTAAATTTTCACACAAATAAAACACCGAGAAAATAGTACAATTCGACGGAAAGAAAATGATTAAAACAGTGAATAAAAAAAAAATTTACAAAGAAAAGTAAATAACGGAACGGAAAGAAGGAAAAATAAAACGGCTATGAGCGCATCCGCGAGTGTTTGTTTCTCTCTCTCTCTCTCTCTCTCTCTCACGCGGTCAGCCAGTTGATTTACGCGTTTTCAGGACGAACACTAAACGACGTGTTTCTTCTGATATTTTAAAAGTTCAAATGAGAATTGTCCATAGAAAATTGTCCTCATTTTAAACGGCTGTGTGCACACGCACGCCGCATCTCACTTGTGCATTAAGATTTGCTATTTGATTCAATGGTATATAAACACTGTGTGTGTCGCGCGCGCACAAAGACGCACACTCACACATATTCAATCTTATATGCATATATTATTGTACATATATAAATGTGACGATGATGAAAATTAATTAAATTCTTGCCGTTGTTTATATGAGTTATATGTTGGTTGTTCTTTTGACGCAGTAATCGTTGTCGTAGCTGCTAGACTTCCTTTCTGGTGCTACACCACCAAAAATGCTTTTGTTGCTGTTTGTGTCGCTACGCGAAACTATCCTTTCAAACTCTCACTGGCATCCCGTTTGATTGCTGCACCGCAAATACCCTGGATTAGTCGTATGCATGTTAAATTTATATTATTTTGTTTTTTGTTTCTTTCTCTCGGTTTCGGTTTCGATTTAATGTTGTGTATTTTATGTGTGATTATTTCAATTTCTTGCTAAGCAGCTATCACTTGATTTTTTCTTTATGTTAAACTATATACGATAAATTTATTTAAACGTTTACATATCACAAAATGCTGAACCTCATTGAATCATCGGTTTTTTTTTTATTCATCATGATAATATTTTTCTTTTGCTTCGTTTTGCGTGTGAATGTGATTTATTTTATTTATGATGAAAACGCGGTCGTAATCGGTTTCGATTGTGGTTTGGATGGTATTCAAAAGTTCGAAACTATCATGATTCAGCCGACAAATTTTGATTCACTGAGTGAGGCTGCTCCTTCTTCTTCGTTTTTTTTTTCTGGAGGTTTTGCTTTGATTTTTCGTCGTTTGAACAGCTATCAATTGTGTGGATTAAATGCAAGAGTGGATCGAATTTCTAAGAACTTGTATCGGCTTTTGATTCCAAAATGAGTGTTTTCACTTGATACGTATGACTTGCCACTGCGTACATTTTTTTTTTCTCTCAATTTTGTTTATTTTGTTTTTTTTTTTTAGCCTGATAACCGAACACAAAATTAATCAACCATATTTCGTTGTTCGAACATTTGCACGGACGCCAATGGAAATCTATAAAATAATTTAAAGAAAAATCGGTTAAAAAACACTTGTAAAATAATAAAATTTACTCGTTTTTTTCGTTAATTTTTAATTTTTTTCTTTGAAAAGAAAAAAAAATCACGCAGAAATGTGAAAAGAAACCGTTGTGTTAGTTCACTTATATTCTATTTATATGGTGGTAGGCCTATTCACATGATTGTGCACGATCTCCGTAATTGAAATGATCGATTTCCAAATGTGATTGTTAATTGGATGGGCAATCGATTGGTCTTCTCCATATAACAATCATAGCAAAATAAAATTACATCTTAATTTCGCTTAATAGCTCAATTTTGTGCCATTTTGTTCGAACATTCAAATGTATCGATGTTTTCTCTCTTTCCCTTTTTCGCAGTCTGTTTTTTTGCTTCTTTCGGGATTCGTTTCTTTATTCTCTATTTTTTTGTTGCTTCGATTGAAGCGACAGAGGAATCCTTACCGGTTTTTTGATCAGTGCGTTTCACACAACTGTTCCCTACTAGCTATTCATTGATACTCATATCCGAAAGTGCGTATTTTATCTATTGAAAATGATTGTGGGGAGCAAAAAGAAACTGTTTTCTTGAAAAAATGAATTCTTACATTGAAATTCGAGCAAAGTTGTGAAAATGAATATTGTTATTATAATATGGAGCCGTGCGTTGTGCATGTCGTCGTCGAATCAAAACATGCACATTTCGAAAGAGAGAGAGGGAGACGGAGAAAGAGAGAGAGAAGGAAAGACAGTGAGCAAGAGAGAAAGGAAAAGGCTATCTTACGATAGACAGAGACAAGTGACGCGCCTAAGCCAAAGCCAATGGCAATTTTTATAATAGTAATGAATACAAAAATAACAACAAAAAACTCATGGTTGATAATTGCATCAATAGACTCACAGGCCTTTGCTTTTCCATATGTATTTTGTATTGGGACTGGATTGAAAGAAGGAACATGAAACTCTATCGAAAGAGCGAAAAAACAACAACAGCCTAACAGAGAGAAATAATGGGAGAAGAAAAAAACAAACGGAACACCAACTGATCAACAAGCAAACACATACACACATACACAATCTTATTTAAACATTTGTCGCACAGCAAAATAATACACAGCAAATTTCTCGAATTCATCATTTAATTGTTTCTCTTTTGCAGTCGGTAATACACGCGCTCATTCGCTTCTTTTCCTCTGTCTCTCTAACACTCAATCTGTCCATCTTTGTGTCTCTGTCTTAAGCGTGAACACACACACACATATATTCATTATTTATGGCTTCATTTCGAAATTCTTCATCAGTTTTTGTATATATATATATATATCATAGTTTAACACTGTTTTGCATATGCACCGTGAAAATGCATTTTATGCCGATTGGCGCATGCATCCGTAAAACGATTCCTGCCCATATCAAATGTGCGACAGTTGAGAAGCATGCGGAACAGAAACAGAAACAGAAACAAGCGAAGAAGGAGAGAGGAAGTGACAGAGTGGAAAAATGTATTAGTACAACGCACACACCAAACACGAAGACCGTGTCATGAGAGCGAATTCAGCGTTGACGGTTTTAGAATAATTGTGTATTGGATTTGCGAAGCGCCTCAATCTCTCAAACCACATAATTTCCATTGTTTAGTCTTATGATACTTGATGTTTTAGTCACTCGCAATTTAATATTTCTTTCCTTTTTTGTTTCCCTCTGTGTTTTGTCCTTTTTACGCTCTTTCTCGCTCTTCCTTTCTATTTTTTTTTTCTCTACCTTCCCCTCTTTCTCGGCGTATTTCACTCTTTCTTTCTCGCTCTTGGAGAAATGCACAACGATCGATGTTCATCGTGTTATCGCAATCGGTAAACGGACAACGGACTTGTACAATCAACCCGCAATTTGAATAAATCATCTCAATCAATTGAGCAGCCAGCAATGATTAGTTTGTGTTCATTTGCAATGCGGTCGGTTGTCTTGGCCGACATCATCACTGTCGCCGACAACAACTTTTTTTCCTCTTCTTCTTTGTCTCTTTTAGTTAAATTTTAATCAATTTATTATCATCATTTCTATTATTTCGAGAGAGATTGAGTGTGTTTGTGGTGTATACAAAATAAGTTGGTCGTCGGAAAGCGATTGAATTACCCGAATTGTTCAATTGCTGTATGTGCGTGTGTGGCTGACAATGAGTCACATCAAAATCTGGACGCACTAAATTCTAAATGCCTTGCGATGCGGGCAAATTGAGTTTTTCTCTCTCTCTCTCTGTGTGTCGCTTGGTCGAGAGATGAAAATAGAACTTGATTCATATTTATATTGAATTATCGTAGCATTAGTAATTGTTCGGTGATTAAAGGCACTTGTCACTGTGTGAATGTGACACACAGCAGCACAGTGCATGCTAGTGAATCATGACAAAACCGATTATGTCACCGATTTCGATGCGAAAACATCAAAGCAATCCATTCGGAATAGTGTGAATGGTTTGTTTTCTTTAATTTAAAATCTGGATGCTATTTTCATGTAAAATAGAGTCAGACGACCGTCCGTTTTTTTTCTTTCTAAATATACCATCGACATTACTTCCTGAATTCATCGGTTTAAAAACAAAACACGATGATAAGATTTCGAGGGAATGATGCGTAAGTGTGTATGTGATGAGAGTAGAGAGAAAAAAAAATGCACCGTCAATTGCATCTTATTATTACATCAGCCTCATTAATTCATCGTTTATTTTAAATGAATCATTTATTAGCTGAATGACACCAGTCCAATCACTACCGTTTGTTTTTTTTTGGAATTTCTCTTTTTTTTCTTTTGTTAGTTTTTTGTCATTCAAATCTATTTCTGTTCGATAAGTCTAATCAAATGACACACACACACACGGATTTTTTGCTCTTGTCATTCGATCATCGGTCGGTCAATCGCTAATGATGCGATGAACTTTTCTAAAGTGTCGCATGTTCAACCGTTTGAAATTGACAATTTGAAAAATGCAGCACGTGAAAAATGCACATCAGCTGGTTGCTTCTAAAGCTTGATGCATGTTTGGCATCGCATTTGCGGCAGAAAAAAAACCCATGATATAGACATATTTAAGTGTGCAATAGTAGACCAATCGTTGTTGCTGTGAGACAGAATGAAAGTTAAGACAAACGCGTTTAGCGCAATTAGGAAGTCAACGTAATAAACAAACAAAAAGTAATGAAAGTTTGAAATTCAAATTCCAACGAAAAATTTCGCATTTTTTTTATTCCACCGAAGATGTGTCTCTCCGAAGATCGAAAAAGAGGGAGAAAAATACACACACAAAGAAAGAGGGACACATACAGAGATAGGCAGAGAGAGACGACATACAAGAAAATTTGTTTGAATTTAGCGAATTACCGAAGTTAACTTGGTTTGTCATAACAATGACAACAACAACAAAAAAACACAAAAATATCTGAACTAGCTCGATATTACAATAATATGGAAATTGAATGAGAGCAATGTTAAAAAGAGCGTATGTGTTTGCTCCGTGTTTGAATGTGGAAAAATTGTAAAATTTCGAGCGAACACACGATTGCGATGTTTATATGTATCAAGTGAGTTTGGATTACGAATTAGTTGGTATGTGATAAGAAGAATTTTGCGTTCTGCTGTTCTTTCGACTGTGTGTGTATGCATGTGTATGTGTTTGTGTTGGTGCGCTATTCAAAATTATTTATTTTATAACATTCCAATTACGGATGGTTTTAACTATCTCCATCGCAATTTAGTCGAGAATCGCGATGCAAATCAATATACGCCCCAATAAAAAAAAGAAGTACGTGTGAGTGTATTTGGTTCCGCGACGCCTCAGTGGCCATGAGTTATTCTCGCACACCGTTCCGTTCTTATAAGGAACATAGTTTGCCCTTTCGGAAATATCAATTCTAATTGGAATTGTACATTCTTTGGCTGCCGCACAAATGCGTCAAATATAATTGAATGCGGAGCATGAGCGAGAGAAAATATGTTGGGCGATCGCGCGTGGCCGTCGCCAATATTGTTCGTTCGATGATATTGTTGATAAGTTCGTGTTGCACAATGAGTGAGCACAAGGCAGGAGCGAGACGAGCGAAGGCGCGCGCGCACACGCACGCAATGCCTTTGACTAAACAATTTATTATCAATGCTGATTGTGTGTGTGTTGACGCGTTGACGTTTTTATCGAATGCAATTTTATTTTTATTATGACTAACACAGGTGATTAATTTACGCGCTACGAACCGAATGGTTGAGCGTGTCCCGAATGAATTTTATTCAGAGAGGGGAGGGCGTGCGATGTTGCACAAAATTCCCAAGTTGATCCAAACCGACCCATCGAATCGACCAGAAAAGAAACAAAACAAATGTCAATCGTGGCGAGTCAAGCCGAGATTGCATTTAGATCGTAACAAACACTCGCGCACTGCGTATGTGTGTCTGTGTTGTTTTTTTTTTTGGATTTCAATGTGACTCCAAAATTGGAACGGCAAATTAAGTAAATAAACATTTTTACGTAGAGAAGCAAAGCTGTCATTGCCACATTCATTGTTATTACGACCATAAACCATTGCATAAAGTAGCTAAGAATGCTCGCGATCATACGAGCACACACACACACACACATATACGTTCTCAAACACTCAATAAAAACACACCGAGAAAGAGAAACAAATATATGTACGACACACCGAAAAAAAAAACAATAACAACAAGAAAGAAATAAGACAATAAATAAAACAAATAGGTAAAATTGAAGGCGCACAGCAATCGACGAGAGAAAGAGTGAGAAAAAAAACACAACAACACTGTACGCAAAAATGCATAATATGAATAAGCCCGTTTAGGCTTGAACGATGTTTTCCATATGCACTATCAACTAGAATAAGCATTCCGATTCACTTTGAACAATTATGAATTTTACGAAGGAGGAAAAAAAACACAATCGAAGCAAAGAAGAAGTATTATAAAACACAAACCCGACAAACAAATAGAATAGTATCCATCAAGCGGAATGAAGAGAGATAGAAGAAAAAACAAAATAACAACGCACCATGCATATGAAATGGAGCGCTATCACATTGGAAAACGCTGTCGGTACTACCAACAACGAAGCTAACTAACTAACCGACTAGAAATGGATTACCGAAATCGAAAACCAGATCTGGTGCATCGAAATCTGAATTTCATTTTCCATTCGTATTCATGCATGCGATAAGATATATCCACCCCGATGCATTCGGGTTTTTTTCGCTCTCTCTCTCTCTCCCTCCTTGTCTTGCATTGGTAATGCTCTAGCTTTGGTGTTTGTCTTGAAACACGGAACGTCCAAACACATATTGCCGATTGGAATGACGTTTCGAAAAAGGAAAATCGAGGTTTGTGTGTTTCTATCACTTTTTTTCTCTCTTCAAAGTCCACGATTGCAATATCCTGTGCAAGTGCACGTTGCTGGACACGAATTATGGCGTCTTTTTCTTGCTGTTCTTTCTTCTGTTTTCATATGATTACGGCTTAAGCACGATTTTAGTCGAGCACATCGATGATGACATAAAAACATGAACATTTCTGAACGAAATGTGGCAAGAAAAAAATGGAATGCAAAATGGAAATGAGAGGTAAAAATTGGCACATTTTCATTTAAGGACTTGTTGTCGACAAGTAGCCAAGGTAGTCAATCCCGTTCTGTACAGGTTCAAAAGAAAGAAGAGAAAAAAAATTATTGAGCGTGTTTATTTTGTTTAAAAATATTCCATCGCATTGCTGATGTTTCTGTTGCTGTCGCAATGTCTTTAATCAAATGTAAATTTGCATCAAGCAGCGCGCTCGTGTTTGCAATATGGATTTTAATAACAGATGACACACCAAAACAGTCGAGCAACATCAGCCGATGTAGTGTTTGTGTGTGTTCTGACCGAATGAAAAAGGCTAGATGAGATGGAGTGAGCGGGGCGACCGCTATGAAAACAATCGAATGCAATGCAATGTTTTCTCTGTGTATGAAGGAAGCGTGCGTGGCTTCGAACAATCGAATCCTTTTCTCTCTTTTATTTTTTTTTTTTTTTTAATTCTTTGCTTCGATAATTTCGAGTTGGCATTTTATTGTGCATTCTGTCGTTGCTGCTGTTGCCATCGCCACCCAGCTCTCCACCCACCGAAAGCATACATAACTCGTCATACGAAGCGAAAAAAAAAACTAGACTATGCATGAAAAAGCAAAATAAAAACTAGAGACTTCGATCTTATAATATAGAACTTGCACCCGTCTGCTATAATATTCTCTATCTCACTCAAAACTTTAAATGCGCGCTCTTGCATTGGCTGGCTCTGTTGCTGATGTGAGTCAGCCGCTCGCTCGTGCTCATGTTGCATGCTCGAGACCGAAAAACTTTGGCAATAATGAGACGACGACGACGACGACGACGACTTGATGGGCACCTCACACGCGAACACTTTTAGAACATGCAAAACATTTGCTCAACACCCCGATCCGTATGTATTTTTGTAGAAGAATTGAAAGAAAAAAAAACGAATTTTTTCTCGTCTACGCGCCGTACACTTGTACGTAAATCCCAGGACGGAGAGCGGATATACTAAAGCCATACGGCTGCCAGGCGAGCACACGTACGAACTTGCAGTCGCTACCCTCGGTCGTGAGTATCGAACTCGACAGTTGAGAGGCTCTCGAAAGTATATGCGTTCCAGTTTGTATTTAACACAAAACGTGTTCATTCGTCGCCTTGCGAATTATACGGAGCGTCAGAATGAAAAATATTCGAGTCGAGCGAACGAAACCACAGACATGCATAACACAATACATTTGCTATTGTAATGGTTGCAGTAGCGCGAGATTAACATTCGTTCGTTTAGATTTCATCAAAAAAAAAAAAAAAAAACATTTTTCATATCAAAATTGAGCGGGAATTTTTTTTTTTCTTTACCAAAATTCGAATTCGCAAATATGGAATGAAGAAAAAAATTAATTATCCTCAGTCAGTTTCGAAGCGATGTCAAAATTGCAACAGAATCGAATGTTCCAGAACACAGTCGATTGATTGCAGCCAATAGCAACAACGAAATAAATACTGCAGAAATGCTAAGCTTGACCTAAGCAGACACAATTCGATAAAATTCTAATGTGTGCGTATCGGCCAATTAACCTCTATAATTGTCATCTTTAGCCGTAAATTATTTATGAAAAATAATGCTAAATGTTTCATTCATCGATTACCAAACGATTGTAATCAACTCGATGAGTGTAATACGATTATAAAATTTCGCTTTCGACAACGGTGAAACACGAAAATCGCAAGTTTTCAAAGATTGCAATAATGATATACACATGCGAACACACACACACACACACATGAAAGACACATACACTATCGACTCATAAATCGATATCAAACACTCGGAATCGATTTTATTCAGCACTTTGTGACTTTAGCACTGCAACTATTTGGTTTTTGGCCCAACAATAACAAAAACAACGAAATGAAATGGGTTCATGAAATAATTCGTGTTGCGTGCAGAAAAACGAAGAAAGAAAAAAAAATTCGGTAATTTCTTGTTGTATCCTATATCAGCTGGGCATTTGTATGCGTGCACATGTGTGTGTGTGTGTATGTGTATGTGGATGCGAAAATATTTCGCCTCTATTTTGATTCTCTCGAATCATTAGTTTGGTTTCCTCTCATTAGAACATTTCCATTGAAAAGGTACGTTCGACAAGTGGACTCGAATAAACTACAGTTTTTTTTTTTACGTTCGCAACACTTTTTACGATGTGTGTGTGTGTGCGCCAGATTATCTCGATGTCATCCCGTGCAGAAAAACGGGAATGCCATGGCAATTGCAAGAAAGTGCGATACCGACACACACAGCACATACACAAAACATTTATACACAAACATACTCGTCGTACATGTACGTATGTACATACGACACAGAGCCAGAGAGAGAGAGGCACATACACAGGCAGGAGAAAGAGAATCCGAAATTGATTTTCACTTTGGTTGCGTTGTTGTGGGTAGGTCAGGCGTTTTCGCTGCTTGACGTTTTTTTCCTTCTTCTTCTTCTTCTTCGTCTTCTTTTCTTTTCGTTTGCTTTGGCTTATTACGTATCGTATATATCAATATTTTTCTCTCTCTTTTGTATTAAATATAGTTCAATGATATCGCTGTGCTTAGCACAATCACACACATATACTTCACCATATATTTCTCTTAACACGAATCAAAAATATTTTTCCCCATTGCTCTCTTTCTCTCACTCATCGATTTTCGATTATTCATCGACACTTCAAAAAAAAAAACAACAATTAAATAAATAGCACAGGATCAATTCCAACCAACCGAAATATTAAAAAAAAAATTTATGCTATTTTGTTTAGCTCTATGTCTGATGCTGTGTATGATTCATTCGCGAATCAGAACGAAATGAAAGAAGAGTAGCACAGTACAGAAAAAAAAAACAGAACAACTAAATTGGCCAATTTCGGAGTGTTTTCCGCGTTTTGAAGTTTTAGTTGACTGACTGTGTCGCCGATTTTCTTCGACTGTCTTTTTTTTTTTCTTGATTTTTCGACACTAAACACTTTTTTTTCTTCTGCTCGATCGAGGCAGAAACAATTGTCCGCCGTACACTCAAACAATCAAAAACACAAACACTCACTGAATCAGAAATAAATTGTTATTGTTATTTCATTGGTTGTCGTTGTCGTTGTCGTTTAAAACGTCGTCGTCGTCGCTGCTGCTACTCTTTTTTTCGCTCTCTTCTTTCTTTCATTTGCTTCATTTTCAATTCATTTTTGCCCTGTTTTTGTTTATTTCACACACCACACACGAAAAAAAATAATTGTATATCAAATAATAATAATGCCTTTTCGTTTCATTTTTTTCCCTTCTTCTTCTTCTTCTTCACTCTGTCATTCGATTTTTGATTTTTGGCTAATACTTTTTTTTCGCTAGACGTTTCTATTTTATTTCTTTTTTTTTCTGCTATATCAATATCGATGAATGAATCACAATAAAATATGTATAAAAATTATAGATATTCTTTTGGGGTCTGTACCTTGTTTGTGTCGCTTGGTTTTGACGTTGTTGCTGATTTGTTTTGAGTTTTGTTCTTCTTGATTTCGCTCACTGTGACTCGGTTCGATCGATTTATGTGTGTTTCGAGAGCTTTTCCTTTAGCTCATGCACTGATCTGTCATATATAGTCGTAGCACTGACGATATGATACACACATATAGAGAGACAGAGAAATTTTTTTTGTTTTTTTTTTTCTTGCTTCTTCTTCTATATGCACGAACCAATTGAGCCTGCACGCGTGCATCGTGTTTGCGTGAAACACGTGTGTATAACGTGAGAGTTTGGATTTTTTACTCCCGTCTGCAGCGTACACATTGTGCATATGTATATGTGTGGATTGAAACAACGCAAAACGAATGAATGTGTGCGAGTGTAAGGAGTATGACAATACCTATATGATGTTCGATACGTATGCGTTTGACAAGGATGAACGAGTGGTACATTGGCACATGGCTCTATACACGTACATCGTTCATTGTCTATTTCGTACTATCGAGCCGTCAAATGTCGTGCACACACACACACACACACACACACATACATACACACACGAAAATGCCGCCTCTTCGGTTGGCAAGCATGGAATAATGCGAGAGGCGCAGAAAACATCAACTTTCAAAATTCGCACAGATTTGCAACTGCGATGTTACTGGAATGTGTCAAGACTAGATGCACCGATGAGGCATATGAAAAAAAAAATCGCCTTATCTCTTCAATTGCACTTCAAATTAGAAGAAGATATTTTAAATAAACTGTTTTTTATAGCACAAATCATACGCAATTTGAATTGAAACCGATACAACGGATTGAATGAATTGAAAAAAAATGCGTTCTTGTTTCGGTTCGGTGTGGCCGAACGGGTCGGGCAATTGAATCACGCTGAATAAATCTCAAGTGCATTCGAATGGCGCATTGCAAGAGGAGAAAGAAAGAGCGCGTATCATCATCAGAATAGGATGGGGAAAAAAGAATCTCTGGAAATATCGTGCCGGATATTTGATATGACCGTTGCATTATCTTGGACGCATTCAAGTGGTGTCGCCTTCAAATCATGTGATACCATTGAAAATGCTCGAATATCAATTGTGTGTGCAGCCGCAGCACATTCAATAGCTCTAGAAACCGAATGAATTTCCATTCGATTATTTGCGGTTTGTGATATGATTGAATTGCCTCTGTATGAATTGTCCCGTTCGTTTGACGTACGGCAATTGTCAACGAGAGTGAGCGAGCTGCCGATGTGATGGCGCTACTAGTCCCGTTTCTACGGTATGCGCATATCACACCGAATGTGTCAAACGAGCGAGCGAGCAAACACGAAACGAATGGCCGATTGATTGACGGTTGGTGCGAGCGAGACAGCCGCATCGAACGCAACAACGATTTAGACATTCCTTGTACCAACACACCCAATTGACGAGCGAAAAAAAAAACCTCTGCCCGAACCAACGTATAATATCGCGTACAATTTTTTTTTGACGCCGTCGTTGTCGTTGTCGTCGTCGTTGTCGTTGATAATTGTTGTTGTGCATAGAACGCGCAATGTATTAATGATAGTTGTGCTTTTTGTGTTCGACTCTTCACACTTATATTCATTCAGTAACAACTCACAATCGAATTCACGACCGATTTTTCCCTTTATTTTGTTTATTATTTAAGTTTTTTTGTTGAAAATTTGTCGTTTTCCACGCAAAAAAAGAAACAGTGTACCAAACATCGAAAGAAATAAAAAGCGACAAATAAAACACAAAAATACGGATTCTACAAAGTGGCGGCCAAAGCAAAAGTAGCAGCAGTTGAAGTAGCAGCAAACAATTCACCATTTTTTTTTTCGAGGGAATTTTTCCAAGTGCCCGACAGACACACCAAAATTTACTAACTTATCAAAATGCTGAGAAACTCAGAACAGTATCTCGGTGAACGATGAAAAATCGGATCCAATGAAGTGAGTGTGTGTTAGTTGTTGTTGTTGTATCTCTCTATATTTTTCATTTCATAGCGAATTAAGTGTTTATCGAAAGTGACAGATACAATACAGGAACTGAATACAACAAAGCAAATTTATATGCCTGAATAATTGCACATTCATTCAATTTAATGCAAAACTTGCGAATTTCTTTGTTACGAGCGACGGTTTGCAAGTGAAATGACTCAGAAACAATGGAATAGTAAATTACAATTAGGTTTGTATTCAAAGCAAGACAGAGAACATTTGTTGGAGGTTGTTGGTAGATTTTTTTTTTTTTTTTTGTTGGTTGGTTGGATTGTTGATGCGGTTTTTGTTTTTGCTCTTCAAAAGTGATCAACGATTTGTATCGTTCAAGATTGAGAGTGATTTAAAATGAGCAATCGAGTGCTTGTACGATGCAGAACTCATCATTTTTTTCTGCTGTTCATTTCGTTGCTTCTGTCAGTCGGTCGTTTCTGTCGTTCGCTCGTTCATTTCGTGAAGTGTATGTATGCATCGCATGTGTTTACATGACCGTCACTAATAATATTATATTATTCTAATGGGATTTCACTGATGTTTCGAGTGCTTTTCAATTCTCATCGACTACGACGAACCCACCACGATTCTCTATCTGCCGTATTATGTGTGTGGTTTTTCTCTGCTCTGCTTTTGCCTTGTACGTGCTAGTGTCGCCAGAATGGAACGACAATGACGACGACGACGACGGCGAAGAAGAAAAAAATTGCACGCCAATTCAGACAAGGAAAAATTTGTATCAATGCGACAACAATTCGCACGACACAGCACTCAAGATATGAATCATACCAATTTCACTCGTGTTGTTGCTCTTGCAAATCTTGAATTGCATTTCAATCGTATTTATTTGTATTGTGTCTACCCGATAAGTACAAAGTTTCTTTTTTTTTATCTCAATTAAAAGAAAAAAGAAAAAGTCTCATGGTATACATTCTCGTTGTTTCGAAACGGCAAACGCGCGGAAATGATTGGAACCGAAAATTTCATTTTCATCAGCGGTGTGTGTGTGTGTGTGTGTGTGTATGTACTTTTTTTGCTTGATTTCTTCTTTTTTCGCTGCTGTGCTTCTTCAATCGCGTTCCTTTCATTTCGATGAGTGCACAAGTAACGAGTGTATACGTGTGTAATGAGCTTGTGTTATCGTGTGTATTTTTTTCCCCTCTATTCATTTTCGGGTATTAGAAAACGGCAGCAACAATAACCGAAAACGCGAAAAGCATTAAAGAAACATAGACTGAAATCGACCTCTCTCTCTCTCGTTCGAATTTTGCATACTTTCTTGTTCTTTCGAACAACAACAAAAAAATACTTTCTTTCTCCATATCGACATGCGAATGATAGCGTTATTGGGCCAATACACGCACCAAACCAAGCCTTTGAATCATTTCACGTTGCATGTTTTTCAATTCCGTTTTGATTGAGATACACACAGAGTGAGAGAGAAAAAAAACCATATATTTATATTGTGAACTGGCGTTAGTCGCATTTTAAGTTCATGTGTACTGAACGCCCGGCATTATATTTCAACTCCTCGCGCGATGATCTGAACCAAGTGGCATTGTTGTTGTTGTTGTTGTTGTTGTTTTTTTCTTCACTCGTCGACACGTCAAATGCCCGAATTTCTAAACATTGGCCAGAGTCGTGTTCCACTGTCAGTCGATGTGTATTATATACAACAACAGCAATATGTCTACGAACGCATTCCGCACAAAAAAAAACTGAACAGCAAAACGAAAGAAGAAACAAAAATGAGCATACGAACCAAAAAAAAAGAAGAGAAAGATTAATCAAACAAACAGTTGGGGCTGAAAGTCAGGGGAATGTATATCGCACGGCTCAATTAATATTCCTTTAAATATAGAAAAAATGAAATGGAATGTGATCCAATTTATTTGTCGGTTTAATTGCGCACGAGTGTGTGTGTGTGTGTGCGTATGCGTATGCGTGAGCGACCGTACATTCATTCATACATTTCGTTTGTCTTATGCCGGGGTCAATTCAAAAACTGGTGATTTGGTTGGTCCATTCGCTCAACGCTGCGAGAAATACATGATTCATGTTTCGAAAGAGAAATCATACGGTTCATCTTTCGACTCATCTGCCCATCATTTGATGGGCAAGACAGATTGAGCAGCAGACGAAACAGAAAACAACAACAAAAAATTGGCAAACATATACAGCGATGACAGAGTGAGAGTGAAATGATCCGCCCATGGAGAAGAAAACAAAAATACCGAACTGACGACACTGGAGCATTTCCATTTGAACTTTGAGTTGCGAACTGCCTAAGCAGAACGACCGAAACTGTTCAACTTTATATTTGGTTGCTGCTGTCGTCGTCGTTATTGTGTACGGTTTTGTTACATATGGCTCGTCGTCCGATGCAATAAATTATTCGTATATGCGACAAATTACACGATGACTTGCAGCAAAGCGGACAAATACGCATATTGCCCATGACTTATTCGGAAATATGTGCGGAATGCGAGCAAAGAGCGTCCACAATATAGTATGTGGACTCAATATTTATAATCCAGAAAAAAAAGAATCGTAAACGAACGTGATGGAATTGATACGTGTGAGTGTACGTGTAAATTGGGTCTTGAGTGTGTGTTCGTACGCGCGCGCCCGTGTGTATTTTATGTTTACGAGCAAATAAATAAAAATTCAAAAATTCAAATAAATGAAAATTGAAACCGAATGACTCTTGACAACGACGACGACGACGACGACTATGAAGACGGCAGTGGTGGTGACGGCGACCCCATAATTGTATTGTACTTGAAAGGGGCTTACGTCATTTATCAAAAATGAGCCATTTCTCTACTTAGTTATCAAATTAAATAGCTGTTGGAGTGTTGTAACATCGATCGATTTTATCATCCAATACTTTTTCCCTCTTCTACTTCTTCTTCTTCTTCTTCTTCTCTTTGGGGTTTTGACTGGTCAAATGTTGTGATCAGGCCACTGAATGAATTCACATTGCCAAAAAAATACATATACATACAGAGTATCGCGCGCGAGCTCGCTCGCCAAATTCCATGGCTGAACGGCATATTCCATTCGATTCATAGAAGGAAATGCGAAATATTATCGCAATCGAGTGTTCTCATTTCATTCGATACGTAAACAAAATTCACCGCAATCTCGCGACTGGATATGAAACGAAGCGAACGAGAACGATTAACCGCAAAATCCAAGTGTAGCAAATCAAATAAGAAAACCGTGTTTTTTCTTCTCTCTTCAGTTTCTTCTCTTACTCTCTTGTAAACGAGTTTTACCAGCCGACGACTATGTACATGTAGTTCATTGCTCATTTACATTACATATAGGTAAGAAGAGAAAAAAAGGTGGTGTTTAGCACTGCAAATAATACGATAAACACTACAGCAATTTCGATGTAATGCCTTCATTCAGCTAAAAGTCACTCATTTCAATTGAAAATCTATCACACACAGTTTGAGAGCTGTCGTTGTTGCGGCTGTTGTTTTCCGCGATTGCTTAGCTTCTTTAAAACACACCACATCGTGTGTTTCTTCAGAAATCGACGTCACTTGTGTGAATCATGCGATTACATATAGGAAGCGTTTGCGTCGCTAGCAAAATGTAAAACAACTCGCACATAATATGTATGAGCGCTCGGTTTGCGCGTAATTGCTTTATAACTTTATCATTCGATAATCTTGTTAGAAGCGTCGTTGTTGCTGTCGCCGTCGTCGTCGTCGTCGATTGTAGTTGGAAAGAATCGCTTCGGGGATTAGTCACAAGTATCGCATATTAATTATTCATTACATGAATCGAGCACACAACGTTTATTCTTAAAAATTCAGTCACTGTCAAGATCCCATCGAAATCGAATTAGATCAAATATGCGGCTCAAGTTCAATCTGATTTCTTTTTCCCTTTCATTCTGTTCGGTCTGATTGTTTTGTTCCGAAAAATGAACATGATTTGTTCAAACCAAGGAGCAATTTTTTCTTGTTCGTTTTTAGTTTGGATCGGTTGAAAGAGCGTGTGTACGAGGAGCGTGTTGGTTGAGCGCGCGAGAACCTAAATCGATTGATTTTGTGTTTTTTTTTTTTTTGGTCTGTGGAAGGTTTTTTGACTAGTAAATATGTTTAGATCACGTTGTATGGTTATCGAATTTTCGAGCATTTGCTCAAAGTGCTAACACCACTACAACACCACAGTATTATTTCTGTGATAAAGTGTTCGCTCTCATTCGAATAGATAAAAATCAGCGATTCGCCCGATTAGATATGGTGAATACTCGGCTCATTCGGTCGTTCTGTGTGTCTGTATGCAATTACAGTATACGCACTGAATTAATTTGTGATTACGGCCGAAAAACAAAGTATATTGACACATTCACACATTAACCATAGTCCACAGTCCGCATATTTAAGGCAAAAGTCATTAAACAAACACAGAACCAAATGAATAAGCATAGAAAATAGAGAGAAAGAGAGTAACGAAGAAACAAAAACGACGACCGTACAAAAAAAAAAATAACACAAAACTATAACAAATAACAAAAGAATGACCCAAAGTGAACTGGAAAGCTAGTTTTGACTATCTTGCCAATGGTCTTGCTCACACAAACATACACACACATTTAATAACCGCATTACTTAGATACAAAACTCTAGAGGGTAACGATTGAAATCGACACGCTTTTTATTTCCATAGCCGCCACAAGGATGGACAATAGAGACCATACGACACACTAAACAAGAGCATTGTATGTGTGTTTGGCTAGAGACTCGGTGTATGGAAAAAAAGAAAATGTACGGCAAAAAGTCAAAAGCAAAATAAAAGAAAAGTGTGTCCATGCGTTTGGTTTAAGCGCGTAAGCGCGCGCCAGCTACAAACCAAACCTCATTATTGATATTTTCAATGGCATATAATGGATTCGAAGTTGCTTTTTCCACTCTTTCGTTTTCATTGTCACATTCTCATTTCTGCTGTGTTGCTTTTAATTTGGTTGACTGTTTGCTCTATGAGTCATTTGACATTTATTTATCAGTCGCAACACAAAATATAATCGCTTTACAGTGTTACACTTCATTTCTTTGGCTTAGATTTGTTTTTTTTCTTTTAGTCATAAATGTCTTTATTTTGCAAGTATGCTAATGTGATTGTGTGTCCATTTTTTTTTTTCGTTCTAAATAGGGAGTTCAATGCGGCATAGAAGCATCAACCTGAAGACAGTTAAAACCATAAGAATTCGCAACAGCTACACCACCATTTGACGCGAACAATCGTCCAATGTGTGATTGATTAGAGAGAAGAAGTAGCAGAAAATAAACGAATCAACATATTCATCATATCATTTAACATATGTCTGTGTACTTTATAGCCCATTTGGAACAATTAAACATCGAGTGAAATATAGCAAAGGCGATTAAGTTCAAAAGAAGAAGTAGAAGAAGAAGAAGACGACGACGACGAAAGAAAAAAAATATATTAATTAGCACTTCTAATACAATAAAAGGCACTGTGTGTTTGCAGCGATACGACGAAAACAGGGCAATTACGTTGACAAAATTCAACGAAACGAAAAGTGAGTTTTCTGCGCGAGCCAGAGTGAGATGGAGAGAGAGAGAGATAGAGAGTGACAACGACTCGGCTAGTGATTCGATAACCCGTATCTATGTGTGCTGTATATTTGTGTTTATGTAAGTGCCGACCAACCGATGAAAGGATGATGAATATTTGTGTTGAGTGAGTCTATGGCCGTTAAAAGATTATGCAAAGAAAACCGAAAAAGGAACAAAATAAAACACTCAGCCAAGAAGAAAAGAGTAAACGTCAAACAACAAACACACACACACACACACACACACACACACACACACACACACACACCAACAATATAGAAAAAATCAAATCGTAACCAGCGAACAAAGTGCTCTTTATTACTGACTGTTTCGGGGCGTATGTATGAAATTCATTCTTCACTTTAACGTCGACAGTGAAGTGAGTGTTTATTGTTGTTGTTTATTTTCGAGATAAAGAATTGTTAATTTTTTTTCGAAATAGTTGATTTGTTGGTCGGACGAATGGTCGTACGGCTCAAGAATCAAAAGTCGAATAATAACAAAGGTAAGCAGCAGCAGCAGCAACAGCTTTGAAGGTGAAGCGATACGATACACAAAAGTTACGTACAGAGAGACCTGTTTGAATAATAGCAACAACAACAAAAAAAATTATCCGCGTTAAGTGAGACATGTGAATGTGGTGTTTCATCTTTCTTTATTCGTTCATTTTTATATGATAAATATTTGTGTTTATAACTTGCATTGGTGTTAATCACCATCAAATAAACGACGACGACAACAACAAAGGACAATTGTGGCTGTGCTAAAACGAAAACAGAAATAATTCATTCGTCGTTTCAACTAAATAACAAAACAAAAGCGAAATCACAGTGTGCATCATCGTAATCATCATCAGCAGTAGCAGCAGCAACAAATTGGAGATTCATTACGGCATAAAGAAACAATAATAATAAAAACACAGTGTGTGCAATCATTTTGAAGTGGTATATGCATGTGGAAAACAATTTGGCCATGCTCTCGTCGATGCCTAACACCATAAAGCGACTTTAGTTTGTGTGTGTGCTTCATTTTCTTCGAACAAATCGACAATGCCAAATTTAACAATCCAGTGATTTTAAGCCTGACACAATTTTTCCGCCGTCAATTTTGTATTTCGGTTTTTGTTAGTTCCTTCGTTCGTTCGCGTTTGTTTGTGTTTGCGTTGTTCCGTTTTGTTTTTCGTTTTTCGGCCACTCAAATTGTCGTCCGTGAACAGAGCGTTGCCGAGTGAGAGCGACAGAGAGTGAGTGAGTGAGTGAGAGAGAGAGAGATAGAGAGAGAGAGAGGAGGTGCGCGAGAGCGCGAGCGTGCCAATCGCAGCAATTGTGGCGCCAAACCACACCGAAACCGGGAAAAGCATGCCAAAGGAATCATCGTCGATTGATGAGCTCCAACGAAAATGTCACCGATGATATATACTATTTATGGATTTGCGATATTCTTCTTCGTATTTTGGTGCGGCAAATGGCTATTACACGTACTTGCCATTAGCTATGGGTAAGTTCAAATAAGAATCATAATTTTTGAACAAGAAACATAAACACGAAGAGAGAGAGAAAAAAAAAACACACAGAGATGTAAAAAGATGATGAATAGACGCAAAAACAAGAGTGAAAAAAAAAACAATAAATTCTAAACAATGTAATTGCTTTTGGAGTAACACCTCCTTTGCCGTAAATTAATCGCTTTGTTATTTCTGCTTCTTTTTTTCTTCTTCTTCCTCTTCCTCTCGTACGCTTAATTCGTTTGTGTGCTCGCCGGCACGTACCCGTTCTCCAACAAAACAGCAAATATAAATTACATCGCAGAGTTAAGGTACCGGTAATAAAGTCATCGAATCAAGCGGAAATTGTACAAGCCACCGAACAGCAACAGCAGCAGCAGCAGCAGCAGCAACAACAACAGCAACAAACACAACAACAAACACAACAGCAACAGCAACAGGAACAACAATCATCTACATCAACGGCGACATCAGCCAGCGCGCAATTGTCATCCACCATCAATTTAGTTAGAGAAACACCACTGCCATCGATATCAATTCTAAAACCGCTTATGGGCGTCGACCCAAATTTGCAGCAAAATTTGGAAACATTTTTTACTATGAACTATCAAACGGTAATTGTACCTTTTAAAACTTCTCTCTAGCTCCCCCCCCCCCCCTCATTCGTTACCTCCTATAAAAAAAATGCAAATGTCAAGATCATTTCCAATTGAAATTTGTTCAACACGGTATATTCACGGTAATCAGTTGGGAATAGACGGAGAATAAATCGCTGCTGGTATTCAAAGAATGTGTCGGATTCCCTGTACTTGTGCTTATGTGCATTGAATTCGGAATTGAATAATAAATTCGTTTAAATAGGCATAAACAATTTATTATTTACGTATTTCATTGTTCAAACACAAGAAGCGAACAATGACAAAAGAAAAACAACAACGAAGAAACAGAAGAAAAAAAATCCATGAACTAAACCCATCTTGAGCCTCGTTCAATTAAGGTTTTTTTATTATACAAACTTTGCCTACGAAAACAATATCAACAAGACATTTGTCTTTATGGAATCCAATTAGTTTGAGTTTTCGGCATTTTTTTCGGTTCGTGGATTTATTTGTGAAGTGAAGAAAACACCAGCGAAACATATTCAATTAGGGTTAAATGTTTTATGTCGAGACTTTAAATATGTGGGCCAATTAGTGCCATCTTCATCAATCTCCATTCGTTTGTGATGAAATTTTGATTTAACCATACACACGTTTTACGGCGAGTGTAGACATATTCGCATGTGAGATATATGCACGTATGTATTTATTTCGATTTGAATAATTTTCGTGACAAAACTTTCGATTCGTCAACTCGAATTTGTTTCCACTCTCTTATCAAAATTGATATATGCATTCGCATGATCATCATTATAAACGGTTTCTAAATTTAAAACGCAGACACAGTCATTTTTTTCTGTCTCATTTCAGAGCAAACTGAAAAATCCAGAATCAAATCGCCAAGTTCGAAAATGCATTAACGTGCCCTTCATATATTCCATACCATCAGCCGCGTTAACCCTCAACTGCATAAGGCCGCCTTTTGGCGGGCATCATTTAAACATCTGTATAATGTTAATCGTACGGCGGATGACATTGCTTCAAGGGGAATTTTTATTTGTCAATGTTTTTTCTTTATTTTTGTCTTTGGCGTCATTTGTCTATGTCGTACGATTGGTGAGTTATAAACAAAAATGTGCACGAAAACGAAAATTTGACAAAATAAATTATTCGGTTTCCAAATTAGACATATTTTTGACACTTTTAAACAATAGATTTCATTGTTCTCTGACTTATTTCTATCGCATTTCCTGACTAAACCATGGGAAATCTAGGATTATGAATATTTTTTTCGTTATCTATGGCCAAAAATCAACCAAATACCAGTACTCCCAGTCCTGGGAAAAATTCATGCAGTTGAGGGTTAACTTTATGATTATTAATTTGAATGTTTGCCATTCATCCAAGTATTTCAGATAATCCAAGCTGTGAATACTGATTAGTTTGAGCGAAAACAGAGGAAAAATAGTTCTTTTTCTGTTGCCAGCCATTTAAATTTATTTATGAATTGAAACAACAAATGTCATTCACCAGACGCCTGAAATGCCTGAACACTGATATTAAATTGCACTGAATCGAAAGCATTCAAATTCTTTCGCGTCTTTTGTTCTATATATTTGCTTTTGCTGTCACAATTCAGCTGCGGCCACTGTGTCAAGATTAATCATTTTTATCGTCTGTTTGTGGTTTTTTTTTTTTCTTGAAACAAAATTGCATCGCACAACAATTTCCACAATGCAAAACCAAAATAAACCACTTATCCAAATACGTTTTGTACCTTAATTGGCCAATATGAATGAACAAACAGAAAAGAAGAAGTAGAAATATGGAATTTCCCCCAGCAACAAATTTGAAATGAAAGAAAAACACAAAAATTATAATTAATCAATTCACTAATAAGGCGCAATCATTTAAGCATTATTTGCATTCTCGAGTTATTCCAATTTCCAATTATTGTTATAGTCAGTGTTGTAATTCTAATCTGTTGAAAATGTCTGTTTTGTTTTGTACTCATTAGAAATTCCATTGATTTTTAATGAATTCCATTGATTCAGTGCATTTGAGTTATCCATGAAAAACGAATTTTAGCTACGAACAAAAAGGTTTTTTTGCGGAATTTATTATTGATAGTTTGCAAAACGTGCTGAAATCGTCCTATCGATAGCGCTATGACAGTTGCAATTTGTTTGCGTGGAGAATGTTTCTTCTAATGGAACCACATCATCACCCAATCAAATTCCAATATAAAACTGTCCATTTCTAATGACATCATCGATGTTAAGTAATGAGAATAACGCTATAACACATGCTTGCTGTCAATTGTAAATCGCATTGAATTGACGACGTCAATGTGTGAAATGAAACGGGTGTCAGAGTTGAATTCGGTAGAAATTCCATAAGAATCAACGTATATATATAGATCATTGTTGATTTCAAAACCAGTGGCTCTTTGCTACCATGTATTACCATATATTGCTTCTCATCAGAAGTAATAGTGAGTATATGGTTTGGCTTGACGCCGACAATCAAACTCAATGAATAAAGTATCGAATTTAATTAGGCTAATTTACCGCCCAAAAAAAAACCCCCACTAAATAATATATCATTTGGTCTCGCTTTATTTTTGCAGTACGAGCTTCTATTTTGTATTGAGGATAAATGTGATCCAGCTATTAGCGTCGTGGAAACATTGATGCACAAGTATCCAATGATCGATTCGAAACTATTCATTGGTAGGTGTTCGATTTGCGATGCATACACTCGTTAATTCAATAAATAGCATCGAATCAATAATAACGAGTGTCCATCAATTATATATCTCTCTCTCTCTCTCTCTCTCTAACATATAACATGTATCGTATGTCCGCAGGTGGATCGAATGTGGGAGTCAATCCAAAAATAAATAACATGCAACCAGGGTATGAGGCAGCTAAGTATGAGCTGGTTATGATATCGGACAGCGGTATTCGAAGTATGTGTTCTATATTGCGCGTTTTCCTATCTAATTAAATGGTATTTAAAACACTCCAGACAATTAATATGTAAATATATTCGATTTCGTTTCGTTTCCGTTGTTGTGGCGTTTTTGTTAACAGTGAAAGAGGATACATTACTCGATATGGTCGAGTATATGACCAGCAAAGTGGGCTTAGTTCATCAGATGCCATTCACTTGTGATCGCGAAGGATTTGCCGCCACATTCGAAAAGGTAAACAATCAAATTGTGTGGGCTGGCCCATTAGCCAGTATTGAATACAATAAGTCTTCAGTCTGAGTCATTGAAATGACACGGAGATTGTTTACCGGTAATAAAATTTCATAAATTTCATTGTTGTTTCTCTTCTCTTTTTTTTTTTCGTTTGTCACGGTAGATATTTTTCGGAACCGTTCAGTCGCGCATCTATTTATCGGCCGATTTATTGGGCATCAATTGTCATACGGGCATGTCGTGTCTGATGCGAAAAAATGTACTTGCCGAATTGGGTGGGCTGCAAGCGTTCGCATGCTATTTGGCCGAAGATTTTTTCATTGCACAAGCGTTTATGGATCACGGTTGGAAGCTGACCATAAGCAGTCAGCCGGCATTACAAAATTCCGGTATTTGTGATATATCCACGTTTCAGGCGCGTTTAATGCGATGGGTTAAATTGCGCGTCGCTATGTTACCCACAATGATTCTATTGGAACCATTATCCGAATGCATGATACTGGGTGCATTGGCTTCCTGGTCCGTTTCGGTTCTGTTCCATTGGGATGCACTCGTTTTTTATTTAGTACACATTCTGATGTGGTTACTCAGCGATTGGCTCATGTTGTCAATTGTACAAAATGGCACGTTACCATTCAATAAATTTGAATTTGTCGTCGGTTGGCTACTACGCGAATGCACTGGACCATACCTATTCTTTAATGCACTATGGAATCCGGCGATTCGATGGCGTGAACGCGTTTTTCGTTTGGCTTGGGGTGGCATCGCATACGAAATTAAGGATGACGGTTAGTTTTCTCTTTTTGTCATAATTCGTTTTGGTCTATCTCGAAGAGTTCGATTGAACCAATGAAAATTGGATTGAAAACCTTCATATTCAAATTGAAATCAATTTTAAGCGGTAAAAATGCCAAACAAATTCTGATACTAATGCCATTGTTCGATTTGTTCTTCTCAATTTTCCAGGTGATAATAGTAAATGTGCAATTGACGAGAGTGAGGAGAAATTGCATAAGCCAAGCAAAGCATCGCCAATAAATGTATCCGCGTGTGAGGGAACAATTAGTTTAAGAAATCAAGCGCCATTGTCACACAATGGTGTGAATAATGTTGAGCATGGAGGTGTGAGTTGGTGTGAGAAATCAAGTTCGTTAAGTAATAAGTCTTCAATCAACGATGATTATTCGTTGTCATCGCAACATCGAAACGCTTGCATTTCGATATCGGTTGGGATGGATGCCTAAGCTGAAAACAACAAAAATCGACATGAAATAAACATTTAAAAAAAAATAAATAAATTTCGTCACTCTATGCTGGCCCGAACCGGCTTTTTCGTTGCCGCCGCCCCTATTCACTGTGCTCTTCAATTGCCTAACTAGTTGAATATAAGGAAGAGTAGAGTTTCGACTGCTGATTCACAATCGATGAAAATAGTTTTTCGTTCAATCGATGGAATGAGATTGAATTATGGGGTCAACAATTGCAACAACACCATGCACGCATCGGGAAGCAGACATCTTTAGAAATACTTAAAACAAAGCCGTAATAGCTCTCACTCCCATTCATCCATCCATTTACGAGATCATCATTAGCACACACACACACACAAACACACCGAGAGACTTTTGAGTGTGTCACTACCTAGAAACGCCAATAAATGAAGAAAAAAAACAACAGCAACAAAATTCAGAGTATTTTTACCTCATAATTAGTACTTACATTTTTATGGTTCAATTACTTGTTTTTCTGCACCGCAAACTTAATTTTCCATTTTCATCATCTCACCAAAAAAAAAAAAAAAAAAACACACACACACACCAAGCATTAGTTAATGGAGGATTCATCGTCCCTTGTTTCGATTGAACAATGCGCAAGCACACACAAATTCTACATTAAAATAAAATACAAATATAATAACAAAAAAAAAATTATCTATATATATTTTGGTAACATTGGCACGATTAAAAATTTAACAAAAAAAAAATATGGACATACACCACAACAAGGGCAGCAGCAATTGTTATAGTTTTTTTTTTGTCTCATCATGCGGCTTTTCGTGGCTTTTAGGCAATTTTATTACGCTTTTGCATCAGCATACAAGTTTAATTTATTTCATTTTTATTCAATTGAGTTTAGGTCGCAGGGTTTTACGTTTATTTTCCAATGAGAAATAAAAGCGGAAAATGGAAAAGAAACGCAAAACGAAGAAGTAAGCATTCAATCAAAGAGCGAACTAGTGAGTGAGCAATTCAACAGAACTAAAAAAAAAAATGAAACCAAAAAGCAACACATATTCAGTTGCAACCAAGAGATTAATTCTTTTTTTTCGGGAAGAAATGTGTCTTTTTTTCTGTTGCTGCCATTCGTCGCCACGGTTCAGATAGCAGAATGAATAGATAAATTGTTTTTGAATTTGTAAATTGATCAATAAACGAATGATAATGCAATTAGAAAGAAAATTTGTTTTTAGCAAAGAGAAAAATAAAGTGAAGAATCGAAGAAAGCATTGAATATATCTTGATAGGGAAAAATATGTAATTTTTTTTTTTCTCGATTTTTGTTTCCTGTTTTACTCGGACAATTCCAATTCTATTTGAATATATATAGAAACAAAAGTGTAATCGGTTATTAGCTTAAGGCATATAGTTAACGAATTGTACAACCAATTTCGAGCTAATTGATTCATTTATACTACTCTTAACGAAGAAGAAGAAGAAGAAAAGAAGAAGAAGAAGAACAAACACTCTATTCCATTGTGTTTGATTTTCATATATTCCATCGATTGCGTTGCTTTTTTTCAGTTATTCCTTTTGAGATTCATCCACTTGTTTTGCGATTCAAAGCCAAATATTATTGCACGTCTAGAAATTACAACAAGAAACAACTCTTCTTTCATCTTACACACATAATACATATATATGTGTGTCGCCCCCCTCCCCTCCATAAAATTGTTCCATTTTATCATGTATAAAACACAAAATGAAATTTAAATATGATATCAATTTTACAAGACAAATAAAAACTGAAGAAATGAAAAATCAATATAAAAAAAAAAATTGTACATAAAATTTAAATGCGAAAAATTGTACTATTTCATCAATAAAAAACAAAACAACAAAAAACAAACAACGGTGTTTTTATTTTGATTAGATTTTTACGATTTTCGTTGCAGCAGTGACGTCGAAAGAATTTAAACCAATTTCACATTTTTCGCAGGCTATTGACATCATGCAATTCGAATAAAAAATGTCGGAGAAATTCTTTGTGAATTCCATAAATTGTCACAATTCAAGGCAATTATCAGTTATCATGGGGAACAGTTGTAACGTAATATTCAGAAAACAAAGGAAATACCTAAAATTCCAATGCAAAATGGTTCGGCTATTCAAGAGACTTTCACTTTTATCTCTTTGATTCCTTTTTAGTTTGATAATAGAATGTGTTTACAACGAAATATAAAAACACGTAAATTTGATGACCAATTCGTTCTCTTAGTTAGATTTTTTCTTTTACCGTTCTTAGAATTTTCATTGACTTTTTTTCGCACACACACATATCGCATAAATTATGCTAACGATCCGAGCAAATTGGATTTTTTTTCTATGAATGGTTAACGATAAACGATGACTTCATGAATGAAAAATTGCAAAATACTACTTAATCAACCCATATTCTTATCAGCTCCAGACTGAAGCGAGAATTATGTCAACCATGCAGCCATTCATGGAAGTTTCCCTAGAGACCAGTGCATGTGCCCCAACGAAATTCATTCGTCTCGAAAGATTTTTAGTGTATCGCGTTGAAAATTAAAAATGAATTTATGATTTTTGTTATCACCATTACTGATTAAAAAAAAAAGTGTTTACATATCATGACCGAATCTGCTATTCATTCTTTTGATAATTCGAACGTATATTTTCTGAAGGAAACGAACTATACATGTATAGGATGATTTTTCTTGTAATAAGTATTTTCTATGAAACGATTTCCAAAGAAAATGTATTCTATGACGATTCAAAGATCAGATCCAAATGTTTAATGGGAAAATAGAGGATTAAAACTCAGAATTATGTAAATAGAGATACCACATATCAACGAATAAAATTTCGAACAAATGTTTTTTTCTGTTTGCACTTTTGTTTGTTCGAAATTGAAAGAAACGCATACACGATTTTATTAATTTATTTGTCGTAAAGAGTTAGTGATAACAAGCCGTTTTCTTAATTCGTCATTTTGTGATTATAGTTTATGAATGAATCCGAAACGTTATCAACAGCGAATTCATATATGAATGAGTCACTTCTGAGCAATGAAATATCAATTGGTCAATATTCAATTGTCACTTTGATTATTATTATTTTGACGCATTCTTCCGTTTTATTCCCCTTATTTCATGCGTAAGCACATTAGTTCAACATTTATTGACAACGAATAGCTAATCATACTGCATTCATAACTGGAAAGAGCTCTGCGCAGAAATACAGTTTTGAATAGAAATAAATGTTTTGAGTAAAAATATGTAAAGAATGACGGAATTCCGAAGAAAACCACTTAACGTGAATTCAAAATTCGTCGATTCGGAACTCAACTCTTGTTTGTTTTTCACAGATTTGAGTGATGTCATTTCACGTACAAACAAATTCAACTAAGATTAAGACAAGTTTTGTTAACACCATATTCTAAATGCTTACAAGGTTGACAAAAAATCAATGCTATTGATAATGTGGCTTTTGTTATCGTGAATAAGTGGCAGTTAACGTTCACCAATTAACATAAAATAGTCAGTTGAATTGAAGGCGACTAATTCAATTTATCTTCAGTGAGCTCAAAGTCCACTGATTTCCACTTCCATGATATTTTCGGTCTTTTGTCGGTTGTTTTATATACAATTTCAACCATACTTTTCTCCATATGGAAATCACCGTAATCACTCAAGTGTGTTATGTTCCGAGCTTCAACTTCCTTTCCAGCTGGTTTGAAAAATTTCACTATATCCACTTGGGGATATTTGATAGTGCCTCATATCTTTTTGGTTGGTTCAAAAACTAGTTCGAATTCATCTGTATTATGTTCAGAAATTTCAACTGACTGAACTAGAGACATGTTTAAACATGGACCATGTTACATGGTATACCGAAAATAAATGCGAAGTTCGTCATGATTACGAATTTAAAATTTCAACTTGTGGCAATTCATTACACATTTCAACAAAGGGCTACTCCGTTTTGCTATTTTTAACGGTTTACATCTTCTGGTTTCCGACTTTAGCCAAAGATTTTGATCTTGTTGGCACTTGTGTTTCCTTCTGGCATCTATCACACGCGCGTTAAAAGTGTTAGGAAAATGTTTAGTTGTCTCAATCAACATCCTCCGGATACTGATACACGGCTGAGAAATCAGCATTTATAATCTACAAATCTTTCTATAAAATTCATATCAAACAAACATGTCAAGCGATTTTCAACGGGTTTCTGAACGTAATACATAACATGCCAAAATTATAATAATCAAAGACAATTGTTATACAAATAAAAATATTTTTGCTCTAAATTCTTCAATCAATTTGCTTTTTTCTCCTTAGATTTTCATACAAAAGACTCTGCGATATTGCTGAACTAATTGCCTCATCTCGTTCATTCCATAAGAAATTTAAAACATGCTACTAATTTGATTATGTTCATCACTCCCCCATGCTATCACTCAAATCCATAGTAACATTGATGGGAGTTCCTCCACAAGTGCTTTTCATGATTGCCACCAGCCAAGTTTCTCGCAACCGAACGCACTGCTATCTGTTGAATGCCAACCGAACCACTGACTACTTAATGAACTAGAAAACATCATAAAATACACTTGAGAGTTTCGTGCAAGTTCTATTTTGAAAAGCACTTGACTACTTTTAACTTTTGACGATTATCCGTTCGTGTTGGCCATAAAACGGGCAAGAATTTACGAACAGTCATAAAGTATGGTTCGCAAAAAATTAAAAACCATCTTTTTTTTTTTAACAAGAATTGTTGTTTTATAACAAACATTTTGCAAGAGTTTTCAAGCAAATGATTCTCTTAGATAGTTTTTCTCTTGTCCAAACGTTCTTGAACGAAAAAATTGTTAAAACTGAAGGAAAATCTAGAACAAACAAAAAAAAAATGCTTCTTTTGTAGCCGAAATGATTTGTTTTTGGTTCATAAGCAAAATTGAGGATGGTTTTTCAACAGAGGTGAAGAAGATTAATCCACTCCCAGTTTTCTAGATGAATAAAGAGCTTTAATGATTCATCTTAAAGTGGATTATCTTCGTAAGACTCACGATTTGCATCGCCTTATTTGTGCTCTAAATTGCAACGCATCTCGTTTATCTTATCAAAGCCGATGCATTTGCACTGTTTGCCTTTTCGATTCATACAGGTCAGAAACAAAACGAGACAAAATAGCGAAAAAATAATAAAACATTGTGAAAATCAATTATTTGCAGACACAACAAAATAAACACCGACGCAATATTTCGTGGACATGCATATCGTTCGTTGGCTACATTCAATATTCTCTTTGACTGTCGGTCAATAACCATTGATTTCCGATTTTACTTGTGATTTATTTCAGTTATTTTTGCTATTTTTGGAGTTGTTTTTGAATATTTTAATACAAAGTCAATTTAAATGCAGAGAAAAAAAACACATTTGCCGATTTCTTAAAAAAAAAAAATTAGTATTGAGTCGACACTGTGGACTTGTGTTTATATTTGGTCATTTTTTTCATTATCGCTAAACCACTTCGCACGATGTCGTGATGCAGTGGATTATTTGGATATGCAAATCCAATGGAATAAGCACAAAGAGTTTTTGGTCTGAAGTGTTCAGACTCTGAACCGCTTTGCTCTCACATATCCCAAGCAAATGTGCGTAAGCAAATGTAAATGATATGCATAA